ATTTGAAAATGATATTTTCACTTAACTTTACTCTTGTAGTTTAAATGATATTTTTCATTTCATTTAAATGTAACTTGTAGTTAAAATTATGAAAATAAAATGATTGTTTTATTATATAAGAATTTCTTTGTATTTTCAACAATTTGAATATATTTTTTAATAAATTTTAAATTGGTGATTTCTTCTTTTCTTAGCTAAAATAGATTAGCTTGTGACAGAAATTTTTTGAATGGCATAACATGTTAAGTTAATATTTTATGATAAATTCAATTTATTTTAACTGCTAAATAAAAATAAGTCTAATTGTAAGCAATTTTTAAATACCATTCTAATTTGATAGTTTAACGTCTACAGAATTTATTTATAATTATGGAATTTAATGCTTATTTTTGTTCATTGTCTACTAATTTAGATTTTAGCCATCTTGCTTCTCTATTTTTAAAATATTGTGTTAATATATTATGATTTTTTGTTGAAAATAAGATCAAATTGAAAAAATATTTTTAGAGATTTAAAAAATTTTGTTAATTTAGAAGAAAATAATGCGTTTTTCATTAAATCTCCATTTTATGCTTTATCATTTTTGCTTTCATCTCTATTTCATGAAAAAATAATAAAATATATTGCTTATTTTTAAATATAATTGAAAATGCAAATAAAAAACATTTACTTTACTAAGAACCCTCTAATTTTAATACATCATTTTGTTGTTTTGCTTCAATCATTGAGTTAATAAATAAGTATTGCTTTTATTCTACTATTATTCTTTCTTATAGATTTATTATTTTGATTAATAATTTAAGCGATATCAAATCAAATATAAATAAATCTTATTTACTGATTAAAGCTTTCAAAATTTCAGTTGTTTATTATCTATAAAAAAGTAAGCAAATATGAATTAATTTTGTTAATAAATATCTTTTTTTGAATATTAAAATTAAAATATTTGTTAAACTTAAAATTATTTTTGTATTTCAAAAATGTATGTTTACAAATCTACAACAAATTTTTTAATAAATGTTAAATTTTACTTTATCTCATAAAAATAGAAAATATTATTAACTCTACTTGTTATGAATTGTATTTATTTTTGCTAAAAAATACGCAAAAAACTTTATCTACATATTAATTATTTTTATTGAATATAAATATAATGCTTTAAATTTTACATTTGAAATATTAATTTGTTAATGCTATTTAGGAGAAATATGGAAAAAAAAATACAGAACTTTTCTTTATACATAATAGGAACAACAGCTACTGGCAAAACTAAATTATCACTCAATATTGGGGAAAGATTTAAAGGCTAAGTAGTATCTGCAGACTCTATGCAAATGTATAGACATGCTGATATTCTAACTGCGAAGGCTACAAAAGAAGAACAATCTATTGTTAAGCACCATATGATTGATATTTTTGATCTATAAGTAGTCAATTTTAACAGAAACGACTACTATTATTTGGCTAAGTAGGCCTTTGATAAGATTCACTCAGAAAATTCCTTCCCAATAGTCATTGGTGGAACAAATTATTATATCGAAACCCTTTTATTTAAGCAAAAAATAGCTGAAAATAGAATTAATTTAGAAGATCCAAATGCTTTTATCTTGGAAATGTAAAAGAAAGCCCTCACAAATTTTGGCAATACAGACGAAAATTATCCGCTTTAAAAGTATTAAAAAAATGACAATGAAAGCAACTAATAATTGAAAAGCAAAGATAATGAATCCTAAGAAGATGAAGATGAAGAATACGAAAATAATTTACCACCTTTATATGAAAATGATAACATTTAGAAATCAAAAGAAGTCCTTGATAAAGAATAGGAAGTTAGGATATAGCTTTAATAAATGTCCAATGAAGAAAAATACAAATAATTAAAGGAGCTGGATCCTCTTATTGCAAATAAATTACATCCAAATGATGAAAGAAGAATATAAAGCTATTTGATGTAGGCTTTAGTCACAGGTATACCTCCTAGTAATTCAATGGAAGATCACGAAAATGTTCCATTGAGAGATAAAAACTGTTTGATCTTTTGGCCAAGATGTAAGTCAAAGGAAAAGTTAGATGCTTAAATTAGAAAAAGAATTTATGAAATGATTTCTGAAAATGGAATTTACGAAGCCTTTTATATTTTCGAAACAATAATACCATAAAATGTAGAATCAGAGGAAGATCCAATTTTCCTTAAAGGTGTGTTACAATCTATTGGATATAAAGAATTCTTCCCTTTCTATAGACTCTATTTATCTAGAAACTATCCTCATAATTTATCAAGTAATTATATTAACTATTCTTTTTGAGTATTTTATCAGCTAGTAGTCACTTTAACACTAAAATATTATTACTTAGCTTAGTAGTCACTATAAGCAATACTATAATATTAATTATATTTTAATTCATACTGAATATCGTTTTAATGTCTTTTAGAATGTTTATTCCTATGATTTAAACTAATGGATTAGATTTTATACTAAATATAAAATTAATTTTACAAGATAATATTTTTTAAGATTTGAATTTACTCATTCAATACATTTTTTTATTTTTTAGAAGAAGAAAAGACTGCATAAATTAAATAATTAATGTATGAAGACGAGGAAGGGAAAAAGGTTATTACTTAATGCATAGAGAAATTAGTTACACATACCATATAGTATACAAAGAGGTAACTAAAGTGGATTAGACATAGAATTATGATGAATTCAGATAGCGAAGAAATCAAAAACAGACTCTTTGTTTTTGAATTTGATGAATTTACTTCTGAAAACTTTAAAGAAAAAGCAATTAATCCAGCAAATGAAATAATTTCAAAATACTTTGAGTTGGCAGAAAAATATAATGAATCAAATGGAGATTAGCATCCAATTGAATAATTAGCAAATGATGAATTCTTAAAATAGTATCTTATTAAATTGGATGAGCTCATGGACGTAAGAAAAGCGCATATGAAGAAGGGACTGAAGGATTGGAAAAACTATTACTGTGATATATGCAAAAAGGAAATACATGGAGAACTAAACTGGTCTATTCACAACACAAGCAGAAAACATAAAAAGGCTATTAAACATATTGAAAAATCTGCAATAAGAGCAAAATATTAAGAATTAAAATCTAAAAAGGAAGAATTAAATGAAAAAGATGGAAAAGAAGATAAATCCAAGTTAAGTAGTGATGAAGACCTTAATGAAAACAATAATTTAAATGATTAAACATAAGAAAATGATAAAATTTAAGCTGAAAAAGATAAACACGATTGATAAAATAGCTTTATTAAACATACTTTTTATTGATTATTTTATATTTTTTAAATTAGTATTTAACCACATAAGCTTATATAGAATGCTTCGTATTAAATAAAAACATCTTTTAAAGATAAAAAATATTAAAATAAAATATTTTCTTAAGACTTTAATCTTAATATTTAAAATAAAAATTAAAGGATTTTAGATAAAAAAATAAATAAGATTTTTTCAAAATTAATTCAAATAATAGTTTAAAAAACAAACAAACAAAAAACAAACAAAATAAATTCTTTAAGAATAATTATTTATAAGAAAAATTTACAATAATTTTAAATTGATAATGAAAAAATAAATAAAAAAATAAACTAAATAGATCTAATAAATTTTATAATAACAAAATAATCCAAATTTAATGATAATTTATGTTATTTTTACATTAATTTTAAATTATAAATTCACATTGAGAAATAAATTTAAATAATTTTGATAATATTAAAAGAAATAATTCACTTTTTTAAAATAAAATTTAAAATAATTTTAAAAAATTACAAAAGCTTTAAATAATTTATTATTATTTGAAAATTGAAAGTTAAACAATTTTAAATAATTCTAATAAAATTAAGCAGAATAATCAATCAATTTTTATTACAAACTTAAAATTAATTAATTTTTAATATAAAAAATTTTAATATCATTATACATAGTATTTTAATTGATCTTATTAAAATTAACTAAATAAATTATCAAAGTCATTTTTATTGATTGATAAAAAATTAAAAACACTGCGAAATTAGCAAATTAAATAAATAAATAAATATAATTTTATTTGGAAAAAGAGTAATGTAAAAAATTAGTAGTAATTATAACAATTAAAGCTTTAAATAGATTATGAAAAGGAATGCGTTTATTTGATTGACGTAGAAGATTAAATTTTTTCAAGTTAATAAAATAGGAATTACATAGATTATTTTAATAATTGTGAGTAATAAATATAGTTAATTTTTAAAATATTCAAGAAATCAATTAATTAACAAAATAACTCTTTATTTCTTTTATTTAACATTAAATCAATCCATAATATATGAGTAAAAAAAGATCAGGTAATTCAAGGGTTTCCTACCACTTAAAAAATTCTGGGTATTTCATGGAAGAGGCATTCAGCTAATCAGAGTATGAAATAGTGAAAAATGATTCTTTAGAATTGAATGCAAAAAATTAAGATAAATTCTACTTAAAGCCACATTAGCTGAATAATTTAATCTAAATCAATAATTCTACTTACAGCAATACGAGTAACAGAAAGAAGCAGCAAAGTTCATACCTTTCTCCAAGATTGTTAACAGCTTCTACTACCACTCAAAGATCATCTTTCAATAACTCAAACATGCTTCATTCAACTTCGAATTCTCAAAATTTAGGCATTAATTATGCCTTGCAAAACTCCTACTAAAATAAAAATAGATCATTAAAGTTATCTCTACATGAAAAAGTTTAAAAGAAACCTTCAAAATCTGTATATAACTCTAATGATAATGTTTTTCTTGATGATATTTGCATTAAAGTTAATTCATCAGACATCTATAATAAAAAAGAAAAGGGCTCTCAGTTGTTAGTAGCCAGCATTAACTCTGAAAGGAGTGAAAAAATTGGTAAATATTCTCTTTAAGATAATTATTAATTGTAAAATTTAATAAATTGTTTTAAAGGAAAGAGCAAAGAGATTTGTAAAAATATATTTCTCACAACACATGATAAAAGTAGCGATGCAGTTATTGAAACTATACCTAATACTAAATAACTTATCAATTATAAAAATTCTTTACCTCAAAAATAGGAAACTATTTAATAGGATACAAATTTCTTTGATGAATTTAAACTAAATTCATAAGAAAGTGAAAATAAATAGTTGTCAAAGCCACATAACTTGCTCATTAATAATTATTCCAATCCTAAATAACCAATCCTAAGCAAAATATTTTCCTCTTAAGCAAACCTCAAAACCAAAAATTTAGTGTATCAATAATCTTAAAATCTCCCAATTACTTCCAGGTTATATCATTTATTTTTTTTTCATCATCAAATTTATAAATACAATTTTTGTTTACAATAAAAGAAATTAAAAGTTTAATAGATGGATGTTAAAATATTCTATTTATTAAACTTAATAAGTTCTTTGTATAAAATATTTAATTAATTAAATTCCATTAAAACAAACCAAACAATTTTAAAAATTAATATTTTAACTTAACAAGTATAAAAAATTTTTTTTTTTCTGTTTAAATATATTTGAAATGCTTAAATTATTTTTATTGTAGGCTTTAAATGCTTGTAAATAATAAAGTTTAGTAGAAGTTTTCTGAGAACTCATAGAATGAAAATACATCAATAATAGATGCTCAAAAATAAATTCAAGCTAAGTCTTAAAGAGACCTTAGTATTAATTCAAAAGATGAGAAATAAAATCAAACTGAAATATCTATTGCTTCTCCGTTAGATTCAAAAAGGAAGATTTAATAAGAATAAAAAACATCTTTACAATTAAATTATTAGCTGCTTGTAGAAAAAGAAAATATTTTTATGAATGTAAATTATTTATTTTAATACTTTATAAATGAATATAAGAGAGTATCTAATATGTATAAATTATCTTCTACTTATCGTTAAGGTATTTAAAACCTTTACTAAGCTCATGCGTTTTGCACAAGCAAACTGCTTTCCCACATTGAAGCTTGGCAAGAAACTAAAAAAAACAAGAATTCAAATGAAAATAAAACTACTGTAATTAATTAATAATATGCTAAATTTATTTGTGAATATTTTAATTAAATTACCTTTAAAATAATAAATAAAATATAAAGAATATTGTCGAATAGACTACTGACAGCATAGCTATTGATGTCTTTTTATCTAAAAATCCTATGCAGATTATGAGTGTAAGTTTGGCCTGTGCTAAAATATATATAAATTTAAAGAAACCAATAAAAGCTATACCGATATTAAAATAGTGTAAAAGGTTAAGTGATTTATATAGAAATCAGAATTACAAAATGAAATGCTACAGAGCGCTCAGTGAATGCTTTATCATGATAAGAAAAGAAAGTATCGCAGAAAAATTTGTGAAAAAGTACTTGTAATTATCATGGTGTAATAAAAGTGATAAAAACGAACTTTAAGCTTACGATATGCTTGGTTTAATTAGCTATTACAATGGAGATATAGAAAGAGCTAAATTTTATCATCATAGAATGGCTAATAATATTTTAGAAGATGAAAATTCTTAGCTCAGAAAAATATCAATTCTTAATTAAGTTACCAAACAGAAAAGAAGAGATGAAAAAATGAAAGATGAAAATCCTCCAATTAATAAAAAAGTTGAAGGTAATTAATTCATTAATTTTACTTTTATCTATTTTATTTATGAAGTTTTCTGTTTCATTTTATTCACTGCCATTCAATTTTAAATTAGCAATCAATCGAACATTTTAAATCATTAAAATATCTCCAAATGCATTTATAAGTAAGTGTATATGGCGATATTTCATTTAATTTTAACATTAATTAAGGACAAATTCAAATCAAAATTTTTGTATCAACTAACTATAAACAGCGATAGATATCCATATTTTTAATTTTCAAATCACTATATTTATGGTATATTGTTTATTTTATTAAATTTAAATAATTTAGGAGATGAGAACACTTTTATTGACTCATCCGATGAAGAAAATGAAGAAATATTACTTGTGCCTGAACCAAACTAACAAAATTAAATGGATGAAAAAAATGTAAATAAAATATAATAATTTAGAATTAAAACAATTAAATTAAATTTTTAAAATAAATAGAACAATTTTGATGGAAGTAAAATTTAAAATTAAAAAATAATAAAAAAGTAATTATTTAATTATAAGATCCAAATAAAAGATTCTTCAAAGAAAGGTATTAAGATAGTAATGAATAATACAAATAATATAACGATTAAGATAAGATATCACCTTAAGTCTACCTTGCATCAAAGTAGGGATTTGAGTTGAGAAAACAACCATTTAAAACGTACTTTTAAATTTTTGTTTTCATGCTCTTGTTAACTTATTGTTAAAAAACAAACAAATAAACATAGATAATTAGATTATCATAGTACAGCAAAAATCATTAGGGATGCCAATTAGAGAATTAGATAACCAAAAAAAATATTTAAATTTATATCGACAAATAGAATTCCTGGTCCAGTTAATAATCAAAAAACTGATTTTGGTACTTTAAAACCTCCAATCATAATTAGTCATCTGAGTAGAAATAGAGCATTACTTAATTTTCAGAAGTTTGAGTTGTAAAATAAAATCGATAGTTCAGCTCAGATGGAAATAAATTATTGGGAACCTTATGATCTTAAAAAAGCAGAAAAAATCTTGTTAAGATTGTAGAAAGTTTTACAATATTTCAAACACATTTTAAATGACTTTTCTAATGATATGAATTCAAATATTTTACTCCCAGATGAGAGAAACAAATATTTTTCAGATAAACAATTTTCAATAAAACACTATCTTTATAAGCTTTTAAGCCAAAATAACTTATTACAATTAAAAACAAGTAGGTAAATTAAGAAATGAACTTACATTAAAAACAAACTCTATTTTTAAAATAAACAGTTAGTTAGTTAGTTAATTCTTTAAACTTATTAAACTTGTTTCAAACTTTTATTAAAATTATTAATTTGTCACATTCTTTATAAAAATAATAATAACAATATGAAAAATCTATTATATCTTCTTTTTATAACTTATCTATTTAATCTTTGCAATAAAATTTTTTATTTCACTTATATTTCGAGTTTTTATTATTTTCAATTTCTTTTTAGATTTTAAGGAAATTTTATTCAATTTTAAAACAATTTTACAAACAAATTGAGCATCTTTTATTTTAATATTTATTGATTCTTTAATTAAAAAATAGAAATGATTTAATTAAAAAATAATTTATTTTATTTTTTAATTTAATATTTGATTGAACAAAATGGGTTGATTTTTTGAAATAATTTCAAAAATATCAAAGCAATTTTTATAAAATAAAATAAATTTGGTTGATTATGGCATTGTCAAGTTTACTTAAACCAAAGAGATGACTCAATCTCATGTATAAATCTACATTGCCTTTTTTTTCAATTCATAAAAAAATTCTGGATTGTTTAACTTTTTTAAAAATAAATATTTGAGTTAGAAAAAATAAACTTTTTTTAATTTTTTTTCTTTAAGAAAATAATGGTTAAGTAAATTTATATTAAGTAACCTAAATATTTATTTTTTTTTCAAATGATAGCAGAATTTCGATCAGATCTTTTTAAAGTGTTTGAATTACATTTTTATAATAGAGACTAAATTGAACAAAGCATAAAATATTTAGAGTAGTTTTTATATTTGAAAGATACTTAATTTTTAATGAGGTTATTTGTTGTAGTAAGATATAAAATATCTAGAAATAGATTAGAAAGGATAAATTGATAGGAAGAAATTTAATATCGCTTGACTATAACCATTGTAATTTTATAATTTACAGCATGTTTTTAATTATGATAATAATAAACAAATTAAACTTAAAAAATTATAAAAAAACACATTGATTAATAAAATAAATAGGAATGCTTTTGAGAAGAATTTGGATAATATAGATTATCCTGTTAATTTCTGTTTTATTTATTTTAGGTACAACAGCAAGTAGCAGCACTCAAGAAGTAAATAATTAGCAAACGCAATTACCTGGATCATAGCTAAAAGCTTTAATAGTATTTACTAGACACGGAGCAAGAACACCTGCAAATGAGGATTACTATAAAGAAGAGTGGGATGGCTTGAAGAAGGGAGATTTGACAGAGAGAGGCATTAGATAATTACAAAATTTAGGCTAATCATTTAGAAAATTATACCCTAATTTTTTCAAGAGCGAGTGGGATCCATAATTTTAAAAGGTTAAGTATGCCTTATTTTTGCAGCGTACTATGCTCTCTATGCTTTCATTTTTCCATGGACTTTTCCCTGATTTATATAACAATAAATCACTGCTTACTCATAAAGAATTATATGAACCTAACAAAGAACTTGGAATAGATATTGGATATCCTAAAAATCCAAGAGATTTGATTTTCAGAGCTATCTCTCGTGTAAATTGCAAATTAGGCGATGATCTTTTGAGATAATACAGCAACGGAAAAAAATTCATGGCAATATAAAACAGATTTTTAGATGATCCTTTAATGGTTTCCATCAAGTAAAAGCTTTTAGACTACAGAGGAAATCCTAATGAAGATTTAGAATTTAAAGATATGTATCATGTAAAGGAGATATATGATTCATTTTTATGCAATAAAAATGGAGGTAAAAAAATACCAAATTTCGATGAAAAAGAATTAGAATTTTTGAAGTAATTGTATGAAATGTTTTTCTTCAGATTTTATGGAGTTAGAAAGCACAGATTGATTTTTAACTCTGCATATTATAGAGAAGTATTAAATTTTGTTGAAGATCTCAGATTTGGTCGCACACCAAATAAATTTTTCTTTTTCTCTGGCACCAAAACAAATATTGCTATTATTTTAAGTTCCTTATTAAGTAAAGGTCAAATCATAAATCTTGGAGATAACAAGATTGCCCATCTTTCAACTACATTTGTAATTGAAGTTTACTAGAAGCAAAATGATGGAAGTATTTAATTAACCGAAGGAACTGTTGAAAATCCAATCCCCAAAGAATAGCTTTATGTATCAATTAAATACGCAAATAGTCCATTACCCTTAAAATAATGCAAAGAAAGAATAAGATGCACATACAAGGAGTTTATAATTCTCCTAAAGACTAGAATAATTAAAAACCTTGAACAGGTTTGTGATAACTCTTTTTATCCATTTAAATAGCAAAAAAGTTGAAATTTAATTAAAATAAACTAATAAAAATCTTTTAATTTCGCAAATTTTTAATAAGTTAAAAATAGCAAATAAATTAAACACTATCAGATAATAAATTTTAATGAATTTATTTATGCTATCTATCTATCAATCAATTTATGTATCTATTTATTCAATTTGTTTAGTAGATATTTTCTAAATTTCTATTTTTCTTTACTTTTAGCTTTAGTAAAATAGATATTTATTTTATTTAACTTTTATTTTTTAATCATTTATTTTTTGAAATTGTTTGATTGATTTTGAATAGAAATTTTAATATTCCTGATTATAAAATAATTAATTTATAAATAAATACATTATTTTAAATAAGTTTTATTATTTTAAAAAAAATACAATGTTAAATTTATAAATATAATTTAATTAGAAAAAAATAATTTTAAAGGACTCAAAAGCTTTTAAATTACTTATAATATTATTTCATATTTAAATTAATTTAAGATAATTTGAATATTAATAATATTATCATATTAATTTAAAAAATTATGCTAAATATTAATTTTCTTAAGTTAAAAAAATCTATAATTCAAACAAAAATTATGAGATTAATAGTGAAAATTATATGAAAAGGTTTTAAAAATTATAAATATAAAAAAATAACAATTTATTTATTTATTTAATTTATTAATTATTTTAATTAAGTTTAAAACAAATTTTATATTTATTTTTTGTGTATGTTTGTTTTTTATTAGTTTGTTTGACTTGATTTTTCACTTTTATTCATAAACATTTATTTTAAAATTTCTTTCCTTAATATTTTTGATATCTTCTGGTTCATCAGATTACTTCTTACTTATTTAAGCATACTCTTCTTCGGAGAGAGGCTTTTTATAAATTACCTTTGCTTATGGGGAAATAGTTCTGTAATCATCCTAAGTTTTGGAAGCATTTCTCATAAATTTGTTAATTTACTGCTCATATTTAAGAATGTATTATTAGATCTAATCAGAAAGTTGCCTTCCTTTTTAATCCATCAGCTCATCATTTTAGTCATTCTTTTTTCCTACTGAAAATAGTGCTTTCTTCTCTTTGTTTATTTAATATTTTTACAAGTAAAGAGTAGAGTTTCTTGTGAAATTTTCAAAAAATTTAGAGTCTCTTCTGCTGCTATTATCACCAGCTCTGTTTGTTGTTTCATTCCTCTCTTATAGATTTGTTTGGGAGCCATCTAATTAATTGCTACTAAATTATTTAGGACTTAAGTGGTTTTATAAATCTTATTGCACCTTAGGAGTAGGTATATTTATAGATTAAGTATTTTGATCGAGATTTATATTTATGCTGTAAGGCTGAGCTGTTTCTGTTGGAATCCTCTTTGTAGTTGGTAAACTCTCACTCTACTCTGACTTTTGAATTTATTAAAGCTGGGAGATAGATGGATTATACACTTTAGATTCGTTATAATTTATGTTTAGCTAATTTTATTAATTTTATAACTAAAATTCATTCTCTTTTTAATTCTAAAGTTTTTCAAAAGAATAATTTATTCTCTTGGGTTGTGATCCTTAAGGTCTATTAACTTTAGTAGATTATATTTATTATTACTACTACAAAATATTATCGTATTAATTTATTTGAGGTAAACTCAAACGTGAAGGGTCATTCTTTTTTGATTGATTAGTTACTGTTAAATTATTTTAATTTAGAATATGATTAACCTACTCTCTAGGCACACTTTTTAGTACTTTGATGTTGTTATTGATATTTTCATATCTAGAGGCATTATCCAAAATGGTACTATTGTTATTATTGGTTATTATTGTATTTGCCAAAATAGATTCTCCTATTTTAGACATGTTGCTATTTTAATAGATATTCCTAGAAAAATTAAGAAACGAGCGAGATTTTACAAAATCCTGAGTTGTTGCTATTTTTAACTAATCTTTTTCAAGTATATGAATTCTTGCACTTGATACTTAGCTTGCCTACTTATCTAATATCCTAGAAACTTCAGTTTATTTTACCTTTAACTTAGTTTAAATATAATTTCTAACTCCTTCTATTCCCATCAATAAAATTTTGAATGTAGCCTTGCTCATAACAATTAAATCTCCATCATTACTTTCACAAATTACACTAAAAGTCCTGCATCTTCTATTTATAATATCTTCTTCTCCAAACATTTCATTATCTTTCAAAATCTTTGTCTTTTAATTTTAAAATTCAAATAAATAAATAAACAAATCTATAAAAAAATGTAGTCTCTAAATATTTTTTTATAATATATCATAGATTTTCTAAATTAAGAGAAAACAATTTAACAATGATTTTTCTCTACAATTTAGAAACAAAATAAATTTTTTTTTTAAAAATGTTAAGAATTAGGTAATTAATTGATTAGATAATACCAGTATATTTTTATTGTGATGAAACTCTTAAAGTTTTACTGTTGTAGTTCCTAGACTATCTAAATATTTATTATGACTTACATCATTTAATTTTCTAAATTAAAGATCTTAAAAGTGTTTGTAGACCTGTTTGTTTTATGGAATTTTAAGAAAAATAATTTTATTTTTTGTTGAAATTAATTCGTAAAAATCATACTCCAAACTCTCCTTAAGATATTATGTAAACTAAATCAGATTTATCTCCTTCTAAAAAAACTTGCTAGTTTTTGACATAAGATTCATGAGTAGAAAGAAGGTAGAATAAACGAAGATATTTTTCGTTTTAATTCCAAAAAAGAGGCAGGTTTTTCATATAAAATAAGCTCATATCAAGCCAAATGTTAACAAGAGGAGCTATTTGTTAAAAATCTTTTTTTTATAAAACAAGCACAGAACAATTTCCTTCATTCTCACTTACTTAATATTAAACTAGACTTTTATCTCCTGTAATTAGTGCTACTTCATTCATACAATCTCCTTCAACCAACTACCTTGCTCCATATAATGAATCTTCATCTTTTCTATCTCTAATAAATACATCTACACTTCCTTCTAAGATCACATAGAATTTACTGGCATAATTTCCTTTATTAAAATAAAATGATTTCAATCAGTTCAAAGCATAATTTAAATTAATATTTAATAATCAATTATTTGTAAATTTAGCAAAATTAGTTTATATTTCTATTTATTTTATAAAAATCATGTGTTTAGATTTGCTTGATTATCGATCTATCTAATTCATCAATTTATTTATTAAAGATCAAATATTTTTTAATAAAGAGTTATTTATTTTAAGACTCCATTAAAAATCTTAATTATGCTTTTATTATCTAATTTGACTTTTTAATCCAAAATGATTCTTATTTTTTAATTCATTTTAATTCTTACTCAATAATACGCATTTACTGAGAGAATATTATTAAGGATCTCCTACACTATTTAAAATTTTTAAAACACATTACAAAACAATTATTTGATTTTGCTATATTAGTTTGTTTGAATAGAGTACCTAAGATTTAAACAATTTATTTAGGATGAAACTACTCGAATGTAGCATTATATAAAAGTTTGTTGTACTCAAGCTTATCTTCTTTTTAGATCTTATCTAGGAACATATTCCCTTGAAGAAGAGTTTCAAGCTTTTAGATTTTATTTTGGACTTTATCCTACTTGTCCATATTCAACAGTTTTTTAATTAGCTTTTTATTTAAAAAATAAATGAGTTTCTATTAATCTTATTTGAACAAATTAAAGACATCTAAATGAATTACTTCTATCTTGTTCTATTGAGCCATTTCAAGATTGTGATTGGAATATTGCTTGATTGATTAATGGTGCCTGATATATTTAAAAACTATGAAGTTTCTTTCTACTGAATTAAAAATAATAAATTTTTATAACTACAATATCTGATTAAATTATAATTGAGTTTATAAAAAATTTACAGATTTTCTATTTTTAATAATTGAATAGCTAGCTAGCATATTTCAAATGAATTTTATTATGTATCAATCTTTGTTATAAAATGTAAACTATCTATCTATCATACTATGTATGTATGCTAGGAAAACTGCAAATTAAAAAATAAATAAATGATTTAAAATAATTTTAAATAAAAAATATGACTGACCTTTTAAATTAAAATAATGATTTTTAAATTAGATTCTATAAAAAATGTGAGATAAATAGAAGGTTTTTGTTTTATCAAAGATAGTTAATATTTATTTATTAATATTCAAAAATAAATAACCCTATAAAAAGTGTCAGTCAGAAAAATAAATTTAATTTTTTAAGATATATTTTATTTTTTTATATTATTAATCACTTTTAAAATGAAAACAAACTCAAATATTTAAAGAGAAGTAAGTGTTCAAATTGATTAAAAATAAAGAATGCTATAAAAATAATAATAAACAACTATTTTATGATATTAAGATATATTTTAAGATTATTATGTAACTTTCAAAAGCAGCAGTACATTAAAACTAATCTTCTTAATTTTTTAAACAAAACTTTTGTCTTAAAATTACATTAATTGCTAATCAAATTATCCCTTTTCAAAAAAAATATTTAAAATAGAATAGGGGAAGAAAGAATTAGAAAGTACTATGCATATAATTAGATCTATAGAAGATTTTTACAATTCTTAAGTTCTTAGCTTAAATCAAAAATGTGGTTATTTTCTAATAAATTCATACTAATTATTTCATAAAAAATTGTTAACTATTTATTTTTAAACAAACAAATATTAATTCAATAAAATAAAATAGTTATAAATTAATTACTTAAAAAGAAATTCATATGAAAAATTATTAACTAAAATGTTACTTATACAGGCAGGTATTTAGAATTAAACACTTATTCAAATAATTTCGATAATTTTAAGTTTATACTCAATTTAATTTAAAATTTAAAAAATAAACAAATGGCTTACTTTAAATTTAGTGAGATTCTTTGAAGTTATTGAAAGTTTGATAAGGCTTTTCCTAATTATGATAGACCTTTCTAACCTAGTCCGATATTATTATGGCTTATTAAATTGATAAATAAATAAATAAATTTAAAAACTGAAATGTTAAAATGTAAAGGTTTACTAACAATCAATAATAATTTCTCTGAGATTAGATAATCCTTAAATTGCTTCAACAAGTTAAATTATGTCTTCTTGTTTTATTTTATTATCCCTATAAATTATTTTTCTTTAGTTGGAGAATTTAATTATTAGTCAATTTACTTTAAACTCAAATAAAGAATTTAAATGCTTTGACTTTTGCTAATCTATAAGCCTAACTCTCTCAGTGCTTCTTAGTTTAATTTACTTGAGCTTATAAAAAATGATAATTAATTAATTTCTCAATTATTTTCTTAGTTTATTACTCAAAGCTTAATTGTAAATATTTAAGGATTTTTAATGAAGATAAGAAATTTCCTAATTAAGATATGTCGTCTTCAAATATCTGAATAGAACTATTCATTTATATTTGTTTGGATTTAAATATAAATTTTAGTAAAAATAATAAATATTTTAACTTAAATTATAAGCATAATTCTTTTATTTTATTATTGTCATTAAGTAAAGAAAAGCTAGAAAAACCTCCATTTCCAAGTTAATTTCCACTAATTAAAATTTAATTAAAAATAAATCAATTTGTGAAAAGAAAAATGAATAAATTAAGTTCAACTTTAAATAATAAGCCAGCTTTTCCAGTATCAATAACTCAGAAACAGACTAATTCAAATAAGTTAATCCTTTCTTATTAATGAAACAGTAACTTTTTTATAAATTAAATTTTATATAAATTTGTAAATTTGTTGGAATATTTATTTATTTACTCAGCTTTAATAACAAAATGAGTAAGTTTATTTAGTTTAATTATTGCTTAAGCTATGTAGTTTAAACCTTAATCTTCGATGTTATTATAGCTTTTTAAATATATAAAAAAAATATATATATATAAGCTTTTATAGTTTAATTTTACTTTAAATTAAGTATGAGTTTATTTAAATTAGTCATGTTTTTGATTGCCTTAGAGACAGATTAACAGCCTTGAATGCCAATTTTATTTTACCTTTAAAAATAGTTTTAATTTAATAATAATAATAATAAATTTTTATATTTCTTAATTTCCATAAATAGATTAATTCATATTAATACTTAAAATTATATTTTATTTAATATAATTTTTTTCCAAATTTTTTGGTTTAATCTCATAATAAAATTTCTGTTGCCAGTATGTACTGTAGTTCCTCATATATTAAGGTCTGTCCACCTTCTTCATTTTTAACCCATTTTTCATAAGTTTAAAATTTTCAAAAAATTGACCTTAAATAAAAAATTCTTAATATTTGAGAATCTACAGACAATTTATATATCTTTTATTTATTTATTTATTTATTTAATTTTCTTTTTAATTTTTTATAATTTTTAAAATATGGCAAATTAATTTTTACTAAAAGCATATATCAAGTTCTTGAAGGCTCTTTAGTGAATTTAAATCTTCAAAAATTGAAGCAACAGCTAATTAGCCAAGAGAATTTCGGCTTTTTTATATAAAATAATTATAGGTAAATTATAATAAAATTAATCTTACTTAAATGATACTTAAAGAGAACTTAAATTTAAACACTTAGAAAGAGCTATTCCTAATTCATCTAACTTATCATCTCCAATATTACATGAGCTTTTAAATGATTTTTATTATTATTTTATTTTGAAATTATAAATTATACATAAAAGCTAAGCTTAAATGTTTTAACTAATTTAATGATTATATCGATTTTGCAATATTAATCACTCCTGCAACTCCTAAAGTACTATTATATCTATTTAAATTAAATTTTAGCTAAATAATTTTAAATAAATAAATTTATTTATTTATTTATACCCAATAAACAAATTCAAACTTTTTAGATTTTTCAAGGTAGCAATAGAATTAGAAATTTATGACGAGCCTTCTGAATCTATTTCAATACTCAACCTAAATTTTGAATAAGCTTTAGAAAATTAATTTATATAAAAGTATGTACGAAAGTTATTCTAAATTTTCATTTTTGGATAACTGTATTGCTAATCTCTAACTTTATTCTTTTGATGGCTTTTATCTAAATAAACAATTTTGTTGTTAGTTATTTAAAAAATGAAATAGTTTTACGAAAAATATAAATTAAGCTCAGTTTAATTTAGAGGAGTATCACTTTGTAAAAACTTTTTTTATAAAATAAAGAAAATATTTTTCATAAATGATCTAAAAACTAAGTTTACTTATTCTCCGCTTTAAAATAAAACCATTTTAAGTTAAGACTTTTTTTATTTATTTATGAATCCAAATAAATTTATTAATAAATTAATTAAATTTTTAACTTTTTTTAATATCATATTTATCAATCAATATTACTTATATTTAATTTACTTATTTTTAACTTTGAATTGATATAATTTTACTAATTTAATAAAATTTATTTCAATTTAAAAAATAGAAATAATTTTAAAGAGATAAAAATGATTTTTAAAGCCAAAAAAATAAGATTAAATTTGAAAATTAATTTATTTTAATAACTAACAAAAATAACAAAAATAAATATTGAAGATATACATGCCATATATAATAATTTAAAATTATGATAAATCATTTATAATTTTTGTAAGTATACTTAGAATTTAATTATTGTTGTTATTATTGACTATTATTTGATTACTTGCTATTATACTAGCTATTTGATGTTTTAGATTTACTGTAATTGCTTTATACCTCTTCGTTCTAGTATTAATTTTTAAATTACTTTTAGGTGTTTTATCTAGGTATGTTGCTATTAAATTATTATTCCTTATTAGTACTTTATGTTTATGATGATTTTTAGCTGGAATTATAAGATTTTTAGCTTGAGGTGTTCGAGTATTTGTCAAATTCATAATTGTTACTAGTTTTTTTGCTTGGTTAATTATTCATTTAATTAGAAAAATTCTTTTCCTTAAATTGATTTGAAGAAGACTTCTAACTGAATTAATCTTATTATTTATTATAGTTATTATTATTATTATAATTTAAAGGTTTATTGTTGCTGTATTTCTAAGAAGAGGCTTAAGAATATGACTCTTCTTCTTCGTCTTCAATGTCATAAAATTTATTTTACTTTTATTATTTCGGCTTCTCATCCTGCAAACGGTCTTCTCTTTAGTGATTTTTTAGCTAATTAGAATGTGTTTAATGAGTTAATCTATTATTGTTTGTACTACGATTATCATGCTAATCATATTAGCTATACAATTGCTTTGGTTGCTTATAATCATCTTACTCTTCTGTTATTTAAACGTTTTCATTTCCATATTAATCTCTTGTTACAATTTTCTTGACAGTATATTTTTATCCATTTCTATTAATTTTTATTTTAAATAAATTTTATACTTTTTAATAATAAATTTACCTTATTTGTGTAGTTGTTGTTATGCTTTTTTGCACTCCTCTTGAATTGCCGCCATTGTAATTTGAGCTAGATGAATATGAGGAAGACTAAATCATATTTTAACCCACTCTACTGAAGAAACTATCAGAAATAAAATCATTCATTATAGAATTAATCATGCCACCTCCAAAAAAGTCATTGTAATCTTCATCGTTTTTATTGTATTTTCTGCTATTCTTTTTTTATTTCTTTTTGCCCATTCCTCCAAATCCAAACATGTCAAATGCACCAAAGTCATCATCATCGTCATCGTCATCAAACATTCCAAATCCACTAATATTAATGTATATGAAAAAAAATTATTTAATAAAAAATATAATTAAATTAAATAATTTCTCTTTTATTTTGACAAAAGTGAGTATTTCTTTATGTAAAATATACTTTAAAAAATAAATTTAACTATTTCTACTTTTTTTATAACAACAATATTGAATTTTTTTTGCTTTTTTCAAATTATTTGCAATACAAAAAGTAAGAATTATTATAATGATGATTTTCTTTATATTTTTCTAATTTTTTTGAGTTTTTATACAAAAATCTAAATAATAATTTAAAGAACTTACAAATCAGATCCGAAAAATTCTCTAAATATTTGTTCAGCATTAGCAAAAGTGAAAGGTTAGTATGAAAATCCTCCTCTATTTCTGTTGCTTTTTCCCTTTCCTTTTCTTCTTGAATTGGAAGGGTCTACAAAAACGAATTCGGCTTCAAAGAATCCATCATCTCCATCATCAGCATAATAATCATCTGCATTTCCTCTGTAATATTCGTCAGGCTATGGGGGTTCTTCATGGCCATATCTATCATAATGATCCCTCTTTTCTTAGCTAGAAAGGATACTATAAGCTTCTGAAATGATTTTAAACTTTTCTTCAGCTTCTTTTTTGTTATTCAAATTTTTATCCTAATTGTTAGAAATTAAAAAAACATGATAAATTATTAAGTTAATAATAAATTGCTGGTATAAATAAATACAGGATGCCATTTCAAAGCAAGCTTTCTGTATGCTTTTTTAATTTCATCAACGGAAGCAGTTTTTTAAACTCCTAAAACCTCATAAAAACACTATTTTTTTCCACTCATATTATTCTAATTGCTTTACAAATGATTGATTATAGAGTTGTTAAATTTCTTTGATATTCAGATATTTAAAATTATAATTAATTATTTAGATAGTAAAAAATTTATTACTTTAAATTTTAGCTAAATTAACAAAGAGCGAAATAGTCTCTATTTATCCTTAATTCTGTAGCAGATTTACATAATTATTATAATAATCATTTAAGCTGAAATTTCTTTACTTTTACTTGATTGAATAGTATTCTATTTAACAAATTATAAGACTTCTATATCTACCAACTTCTTTGGAAAATTTCTATTTGTCCATTGTTATAAAAAGCAGACCAAAGAATATATAATTAGAAATATTTCTCAAGTCTGCCAAAAACTTACTCTGTAAAATTTCCTTAGTAAAATACTAAACATATATGCATTTTTGTTAGATTGAAAAATTATTTTAATTTAAAAAGAAAATTAAAGAAAATTGAAATGAAAATGAATGAATGAACAAATAAATAAATAAATAAATATATTAAAGAAGGAATGAATGAATGAGTTATATTTGATAAATACTAACATAAATCTTGTTAAACAGTTATGAAATTGAAATAATTATGATATTTTAATAAAAGTATAACAAAATATTGAAGTTTAAAATAGTTTGATTTATTTTTAAAAATGATTTTGTTAATATATTTACAATACTTTTCTAATATAAGAGTATTTTGCAGCAAGCAGGTATTAATTAATTAGGATATTTATTTTATTTTAAAGTTTTTAATTAGTTTTTTATTTATTTTTTTATTTATTTATTTAAAATTAATGCTGCTCTATTATAAATCATAAACAGATGAGTTTTTAGAATAGTTTTTCTTTAGCAACTACATATGAAGAATATATTTCCCATGATAGTTGAAAACATTCCTATCGAGAAAATTCTTCTGCTTATTGCTTTTGAATGAACACCATTCTTATTAATATCTGCTTATTTGCTTTTGATTTGTATGAATGCGAGTCTTGGCATTTTAAGGCATTTTATCGAGAAAGAAAGAGGCACTTAAGCACATTCCCATTTAATAAATACTCATTTGTAGAGAATAGCAATTAAAAATAGTTATCTTTATAGTTTAAACTTTAATTGTTTTTTCTTATTTTTATTATTATAAAAATAAGCTAGAGATTTAATATGATTAAAATTCTTTAAAGCTTGCATTTTTTTAAGATGTTTAAATAATTATGTGCTTTCCTCTTTCTTTCCCATAAATTCATTATTAGGTATTATGTTTAGAGGAGTTTGATTTAAAGGGATTGCTAGTTGAATTTTGTTTCTGCATTTTTGGATTATAGAATTATTACCCTTAATTATTCTAACTGTAGTTCTCTATGTTCATATTGCTATTGTTTAAGATACTATTTAACATACTAGAGGAATTGTTTTGGTTGGGATTGCTTAAATTGGTAAAACTGCTATTCAAATTACTAGATGACAGATTCATATTATTCGTACCTGCTACATTATTTATAGTAAAACTGCTATTCATATTTTACTGCATATTAATTTGCATTGCTAAAGCTGCCTAATTAAAAAACTAATTAAATTTATTATGATTGATTTTTGTATTTTATCTAAAGCCATTACTAATTCTACTACCTATACTACTTCCACTGCTAGTATGACAGCTCTTAATCATTAAGCTATTAAACAATAAAATATGGTCTTTCTTTTAATCCTTTATTAATTAAAATTTTTTATATTTGTTTTATTCTTTTTTAGGGGATAAAATGAATTGTTTACACTTAAAAATGAACGCCATGAACAATCATAATTCATCTATTTCTCCTCTATGTATTCTATCTGATTTTCTTTAGTCGACTTAATTTTATCTAAAAATATCTCCTGTAAATTGAAGTTCTCTTAGATGTTTACCATTTTATTTATTTAAAATCTATTTTATGATAATGACAATTAAACCACATATAAAATTTTATTTAAAAACTAAATTAAAACCTTTCGTTTTATGTTTAATGAGTAACTGGAGGCTCAAAAGTGTTATTTGTTAATCTAAGCTTCTTTCCTTTACTTTTAAGATTGCTTCCACCACCCTAAATAGATAAATTAATTAAAATTTTTTCTGAAATTAAACATTATCATACCTTTTGTACACTTTACTCACTCTTAGCAGAGTCAGGTCTCATTGAATCCTATGTTGAATTAGCTTTTGTACTGAAATCATCATAAGGCTCTTTATATTTATCAACTTTGTCAATTTTTTATATTCCTTTTTATAAAGTAAAATTTCAATTTGATATTTTTGATTCATAATTGAAAAATTCTTTTTTTTATTTTGCTTTTAAACTTTTTAGTGGCTATTTGTTAAATAAATTCTAGCTTATTTGTTTATTTATTTATTAATTATTTTTGTCAAATAATTAAATATTTTATAAATATTTCTGATCTAAGAATCAATCAATCAAAACATTTATTATACTCTTTTTAAAAAAATTTCATGATTTAGAAGAATTTTCTTTGGTATAATAAAGTTCAATAAATGAATAATATCTTAACCATCATTTTCTATTATTTTTAATACAAAAAAAGCACTAGAAAAATAAGCCACAAACCTTAAAAATTATTCATTATAACTAGATTGAGCATTTAAAATGACTAATATATTAAATGGTTTTTACTGGAAACAGATGAGTATAAAGTGTTATCGTCAAATACTCTATGAATTGAAACATCATTTCTGTCATCTTAAATATGGATATTTTCAGATTTTGAGCGCTAGACTTCTCTTTCGAGAGCCTCAGCAAAAGTATAGTTTTCTTTTGATATATTGAATATGTCTAATGTAGTTGTGTAATAATCTGGATTGAACTCTTCTAAATATTGAGATATTTCCTAGTGATTAAACATTCGATCTATTAATAGTTCTTGCTCTGCTCCTTCTTCTTCTAACCTACAACTAAACTGATTAAACTACTCTTCTGTTAGAATATCATCTAAACCTGCTTAATTTTATTAGAAAATATGCTCATAGCCTTCAAAAGAGTATTTTTCAAGCATTTATTTGCTGTTGCTAATATTAGTATTGCCAAATTAATCTTTTTATGTATTATCTATCTAAGTTTTTAACTCTTGTTGTTGTTGCCTTTTTAAACGGTTATTTTTGACTATCTCTTCATCTATCATGATATCTTTAACATAACTTCCTTTAAAATTAAAACAAATACTTAGCTTTATGTGATCGCTACATTTAAATTTGAAACTTTTTGTTTTTTATTTCATTCATTTTTGCGTAATTAGAAATTTTAATGAAACTTAAAACTAATTTATTTGATAAATTTTTTTCTGAACCTAAAATAGAATAGAAATTATTTATCTCCAATAAATTAATCTATTATGCGCCTAATGACTGAAACATTTATTAAAAATTTAAATTTCTTTTAAAAATCTATAAAGAATAAAAGGATTCTACTATTTCTACAAACATGGTGGTTCTTCTCCTACCGCTCTAAAAAAGTGGCAATTTGATTATTCTCACTTTACTGAGATACCATCAATATGTCCTTAAAGTGAAAGCGCCTCTTAACAATTCGATTCCCTTATTCTGTTGACTTAATGCACTAAAATATACAATTGCCTGTACCTGGATCTATTGTATAGAAATATCCCTCTATTCTTTCATTTCGTATAGTCCAAATTGTCATAAGCTTACCCTATAATTTTTAAATAGAATAAGAGGTTTAGCTATTGATATTTGCTTGTTTGTGATTAATTTTTTGATTATTTCAAGATAACAAACACTTCAAACTAATTAATTAATTTTCAATAAAAAATAGGAAGCTTTTTGCTTCTAAAAATGACTCAAATTTAACAATTTTGAATATTTTTGCTTTTTCATATCTAATGAACGAGACTTTGTTTGAATCAACGAAATCAATATGAAATTTCCATTTTATTTTTAACTACCTTTGCCACTCATTCATTGCTTATTTAATCTAAAAATAAATTTTATGGATTGAAATATTTATCAAAACATAGAAAAACTGCCTAAATTTTTCATTAAATGTGACTAAATTTCCATAATTAATCTTTGTCCTAATTAAAAAGTTTGTTTACAATACTGTCAAGAGCAAAATGAGAAAAATTTAAGTCGTTTGCTTGCTTTAACTATTATATAATATGCGTTATGTCTTTGAATTATTCATCTTTGGAATCCTTTTCTTTATTCGTGTTGATCATTTAAAAGATTTCTTATTTGTTTTTTTGATTTTAATTGATCACTTATATTTTTCAAAGAAAGCTTAGATTCTAATTAATTATTATTGATTATTTGCTTGCTTGTTTGTTTGTTTGTTTTTTGATAAAGCAATAGTGTTTTTTTAATTAATTATTCAATCAATATAAGCTTTCTCTTTATTAATCTCTTTTGTTTATTTTCTTCTTTAAGTAAATATATAAAATAATCAAACAAACAAACAATCTATCTATCTAGAAATCAATTAATTAAACAAATTATTTGTTTATTTACAACTCTATTTATTGAAGAAATTATCTAATTTTTTACAAATCAATATCAAAGTATTTATTTACTAATCAATTATTTTATTTCTTTGCAACCCAATCCATTTATTTGCATCAATAAATCATTGTATTTGTATCATTCATTCAATTCATTTACTTATATTATTCATTCATTTATTTATTTATTAATACTTTTTGTCAATATCTCTATTTATTTGTAAATTAATTGACATATTTTGTATGTATTTTCACATTTTGAATTTTTAATTTTACAAATAAATTAATAGATTTATTTACAATTTTGCTTGTCTATTTATTTACGGGCATTTCAATATTATAATTGATATTTACTTGAATTAAATAATTTAATTACTAATTTAAGATTTCGTTTTAACTATTTGCTTGCTTTGAATTCTGTTTATTTAGATATTTATACATTATTAATTAGAATTCTAAAATAATTTTTTTTAATCGATAAAGCATAAAAAATTTTACTATTTAAAAGTAATAAGCAAAGCTACTTACTACTCACTCATCCTACTCTAAATTTTACTATTTAAAGTGATGCCATAGTGAAAAAAATTTAAGTAAATTAAAAATTATGTCAGAAAGCAGAAAATTTTTAAGCTTTTACTGCACTATTGAACTTAAACAATAATATTATATTAAGATTTTAGATTAATATACCCGTTTTATTTTTTTAATATTGAATTAAAATATTGAAATTTTCTCAAGAAATTATTTAATTATTCCAATATTACTTTAAGACAAGTTTTTAAAAGGGAATAATAAAATTAGAAAGATTAGGGTAGATAAGTAAATTGTTTAGAAAAAATATTAATTTTTTTATAAATTTTAATAAGTAAATATAAATAAATTTAATTTAAAATTAAGTTAAGTTTATAGATAGATAGATGTATGTATCCAAAAATAAATAAAATCTTACTCAATATTATTTTATAAATAAAACAATAAGTAAATAAATTAATTTAATAAATTGATTAAGACAGAAATTTTTGTTATAAAATAAATAAATAAATAAATAATTAAATCAATGTATATCGTTGATCACATTTTAAAAATCCTTCCATAATTCTATTCTTAATTTTGGAGTACTTAACATAATCATAATGTGCATCTTTTTTTAAAGCAGAATAAGTTAGAATATGTTAAATTTTAAATAAAAATAACCTTTTTAGATATTCTATAAAATTTGTGGATGCTTAGGTTTGAAATGTTGTTGGCGTATTTTGAAATATCATTTTGTTTGTTTGAAAAAGGACATGCCTTGTTTTTCATTAAAATCACTGCTATATCTTTATAACCTTCTCTATAAGCATAATACAAAGGTGTCCTTCCGAACTAATTTTATTAAAAATTTTGATAAGTTAATTTGATTTTAAGCTCAAATAATTTATTATCTATCTAACTTCCTACTATTTTAGTTAATTTAGTTTTTTAATAAAAATACTTTTTCTGGTAAAAATTTTAATTGAAAATTATTAAATTTAAAATATGTATTATAATAGTTTAATAAAAAATTTATATGTTACTACATCTTAAGCTTCTACATCCGCTTATAATTTTATTAAATTGATCAACAACTCTGTGTTCCCTCTTTTAGCAGCCCAGTGGAGTGGAGTTTACTAAAGCTATAAAAAAATTATTATAAAATTCAAAAATTAACATTTAGATTTCTTTTAAATTTATAAATCAAAATTTGATGATTATTTTTGCTATTGATTGATTAAAAATTAAAAACAAAAAAATTATTTTTCTCTCAATTTAATTTTTTAAGTAAAAAATATAGAAAATTAATTAAACATAAAATTGTTATTATCATGAAAGTTAATTATAAATAAATAAATTCATTTAATTTTTATATTTTGATAAATCAACTATTTTAAAATTATTGTTTATTTTGGTTAAAAAATAAATAAATATTTACATAGTCAGTAGAATAAACTAAATATTTATCTGAGATCAATAGCAATTCTATTTGTACTCTATCATTTTGTTTTATAGCTTCAAAGAATGCATGACAATATTTTCTTGTAATTTTTCCTTCTTAAAACAATTTATTTTCACAAACCTGTTTAGACAAAATAATAATTTATTTATTTATTTAGGCCTCATCAAATTATTTTAAAATTACTTCAGTCAAACTTAGATTAAGCTTAATTAGTTTCATTAAAGCTTTAAGAAGATTTGATTTAATACTATTTTTCTTTACTTATTTTATATCTTAACTTGAGTCTAATTAAACTCTTTTCACATCTTATTTAAATTAAACATGGTTTGTAAACTTTTATTCTATTTTTTTAATCCATGTTTCATACCATAGATCGCGTTTTCTGCACGATAAATCTTTAACCTAGTTTAAAATTTTTAATAAATCTAAAAATTTTATTTAAGAAATCTACTTAAGCATCTTTCTTGTACTCTCGATAGACCTTTAAATCAGCTTTAAAATTCTCAAATTGTTTAACAAAATAATTATCTTCATACTATTCTAAATTATGCGAATCATTTTCTTTTTCTTTGAAACTTTCCTCACACATTTCTTGTAAATTAGTATTTTCTAGATTATAAGCAGTAGCCTTTGGCTAAAATCTATTTAAAATTGAAAATAGGCATAAATATTAGTAAATATTAAAAATAATTAATTTGAACATTATAAATAGAGCAAAAATAAATTGGTTATTTTTATTTTAAATTATTACTTCATTTGATCCAACTTAAATTCAGGCATTATTTATGAAATAGGCTTATCCTTAGGTATCAAATCTTCATCTTATTATTTTTTATTCGCTATAAATTTTAAGAACTCAGTAAATTTCTATTTTTCAAGATCACTAAGCATTTTATTTTTTTAATCTTTTCCAAATTTAAATTATACATAACCATAAAACGTTTCAAACGATTCTTTCTTTATTTATTTAGAATTCATTTTTTCATTGATTATATTTTCAAAATTACTTTAAGATAAATTTTTCAGCCTTTCACTTATGGTTTATCTTAGTAATCTCTGTGAAGAGAGAATTGTTTCTGATAGTTTACTTTAACTTACCAACTTTTTATTCAGAGAATTTTTTTGTTAGATATTTAAATTTAATTTAAAATTTATTTTAGATTAACAATCGCCAATTATTTCATCAGAATAATTTCCCTTTAATTCTTGTTAGTTTGAGCTGAAATCTGTGCTACCCTAACTTTAAGAATATGATAATGAACTTTAATTGATTTGTTTTGGGGAACTACAGTTACTGTGCACTTAAGTTGTTTACTTAGCTTCATTTTAACTGATTTATTTTGCCTCAACTTTGTTACTATTTTTCATACTAACTTAACCCATTTATCTAATATTCATTTAACTTGCTTATTAATGAAATGTGTTTTATTCTTCTTTTCCTACAATATTGTTGTTATGCTAATTTTTTTTATTTTAAGGAAACAACTCGTAAGTTATGTTTTAAAATGGGAGCTATTTGCTTATCCATTTTTCTTAATTAGAAGTAGGAGTGCAGTCTCTGTATGTCTCTTTCTTTTAAAGAGATGTATTACTTTTAAACTGCTAAATACTCTCTGAAATTCTTTCTGATTTCTGAGATTCATTAAGACTGTTTACAGATTTTTCTTTAATGCCTGCTAACTTAATCTGGGATTGATCTTATCTCTCAATAGCTTAGAAGGATATTTAACATTCCTCATCATAATTTTCGTTTAACTTTTAATTTGATGTTGTATTTTTTATCTAATTCAATACTTAATCCTAATGAGTCAAGATTCTGCTTTATTTTTAAGGATGCCCAGCTTTACTGTAATATTAATTTATTGCGTCAGGGATTGAAAAATTTTAAGCTAATTCCCAGTCATTATTGTCATCAAAATGTTAAAAAGTCTAAAAATTTTCTTTGCTGCTTGTTATACTAACTGGCAGCTGGTGGTCTGTCCAAGTTTTTTTACCACTTAAAGTAGGAGGAGAGGGTAAATTGAGTAAATTTTAATCTGTATTTAAATTTATTTTTATATTCAAATGCTAGTTAATACTGCCTATTTTAGGTAAATTTTATTAGGTACGATTCTGCTTAGATTCAGAATGAGAATTTCTATCAGAGGGTAATTTAAGGTGAGGAATTAAAGTTAAATTATGATCTGACTATCTCTGAGTTTATTATTCAATTTCTTTTAGGGAAACTCTAGGAGTAGTTTGCTAAGAAATGGATAAAGTTTACTAATTTGGTTGTTAGATTTTTTTATTTTAGATCTGAGAGCCTTCTTAATTTGGATTTTTTAAGATTTAATACAAATTTAAAGGTGATAATTAAGCATCCTATTTATTTTTATTACCTCTTTAAGTAAGAGGAGTCTTCTAAATATTCTATCTTTTTTATTCATTTTATTTTGCTAAATCCTTTTCATTTTTCTTTTCTTAAACCTTGTAAAAAGTTTTAATTGTAAAATTTGTTTGTGTTTAAAATTTATCTCTCTCATTCAAATGCATTTAATATTCTTCTTACTATTATTTTTCTTTTTCATTTTAGACTAAATAAGTTACTTAGCTCTACTTTAAACTTTTAACATTAAAAGCATCAACCTATTCTTAGCTCCTTTCCGTTTTTAAATTCAATTAGTTTGTTAAATCAACCAATGAAAAAGACTTTGAATCATTTTAACTTCTCTAAGTCCTATGTCTTAATGCTTAAACTCCATGAGAAACTTCCTTATCTTAATAGTATTTTTAATAGTTAAACTTACTCCTTATTAAAGAATTATCTTAACCTGTAATTTATCCATCACTTATCCTTTAAAAAATAAAACAATAAATCCAAGTTATATATAAAAAATCTAATTCAAAATAAACTTTATTCTTAATTAAAAAAAAATTGCTTTAAATTTATTTTTTTATTGATTAAATAATTTTTTAGCTTATGTAAAATAATATAAATTATTTTCTAGATTTATTTGCAATAAAGCTTTCTAATTTTACCAAAAATTTAAACCTTTTTATTTTATTTTCCATTTATTAGAGTTTTTTTGAAGAAGCTTTTTCTAATTTAATTTTATTTTTTTAACCAAAAATGAATAAAGAACATATTAATTTATTACTTTCTAGATTTGTTTTATTATCCGATTCCATTTACAAAGTCTTAACCCACTGTTTGTATTTTATCTAACTTCTTTATCAGAGATTTTTTAGATTTTGAATTACGATTTTCTTGACATTTTTAATTTTTTGTTTAGCTTATTTAAGAATCAAGCTGGTAGCTATTGCTAATTGATAATTCTACTTGATTATTTGAATATTATCTGATTATTCTATTTTTAGAATACTCAATATTTTTCTTATTGATACATCTTTGCATCCTATATCTATTTTAATTGTAATATTGTTCCATGTTCATGACCTATGTTCTATACTTTTCATCACATTACAACCTCCATTTCATTGTAGAATCTTTAGATTATAAGGCTTCTACCTATTTTTTAATTAGATCTGGTTTATATCTAAGAGCCTCAAACAAATCTTAATAGCTTCCTTAATCACTCATTTAATATTAGCTTCCTAAATTTTACAAAAGCAATATGTTCTGAATAACTAAAATTTCTTTTTTAAATTACAATTAGCCAAATTATAACCTAAAAATGTATATATATTAATTTACATTAGAGTAATCAAAATAAAAGCCAAAATGAAAAGCTCTGCTTTGATCAGCTAAAACCAAATTATTTTTATTTTAATTACAAGATCTAAGTCAAGGAAGAAGTCTAAGACTTTAAAAATACTTGAAATACTTGCTTTATTTAAACTTTCCTCTTAATAAAATAATACTTCTACTATTTATTAGTTAATTAATCAATTAATCAAATACTCAATCAATCAATCAATTTTTTTTTCAATTTTAAAAATTAATTCAATCAGCCAGCAAAACTTTAAAAACCACTAATTTAGTTTTCACTTTAATCTAATAAAAAAGTTTTATTTTGAGTTTTTTATGAAAGAAAAATGATAATTTATTGATAATTAAATAAAATAACTGTTTAATTGGTTGGTCTTTTGATGATATAAAATTCTTTAAAATAAAAAATTAATTCTAGTACTAATAGTATTTTTTATGTTTAAATAAAAATAATATTGATTAATTTGAATGATAAATTTGTATGAAACATAAATTTCTAAAGAAAAAAATATAATTATTGAAGAGTGTGAATAGTCAGTCATAAGTTAATAGCAATTTTTAATAATAACAAATATAAATTATTATGAATTTAAATATTAAATCACTATTTTTTTCAATTAAAATAAAGATGATATTCTTTCTGAATTATTTATCCTTTGGATCATTCATTCATTCGCTAATTGTAAAAATAATATTTAATTGATATTTTATTAATCATTTATTTCTAAAAATTCCTTCTTAATCATAAAAATATTACTAAAAATGTATATATTTATATACATTATCTTCATTCATTCTTTCTTTCACTACTAACCTTACTGTTTTCTATATGGTTGCTTGTTATTGTAAGGTTATTGATACCCTTGCTACTATTATGGATATTGTTAAAACATCATGCCTTATGTAGGAACAAACATTTATTAAGTGTAATATTAATTTTGGATTCCATATGGTGGTGGTGGGTAGAATCCCATTGGTGCTTATTAAGGATATTGAATTATAGGCTAGGCATACACATAATTACTTTACTCGTTATATTAATTTTAATATTATTGATCTTAATAATTTTAGTTTTAGCTTGGAGGTTAAGTTTCTTATTATTATTATTATTATTGTGTATCAACTTTAAATTCTGTCACTTTTTTTATTTATAATTTTTTTCTTTCTTTTGGCTTTTCTTCTTAGCTTTAAGGAGCATTAGTTGTTGCTGCTGTTGTTGTTGCTTACTGTTACTATTACTGTTATTGAGTCTATGAGTTTTAATCATTTACTATTTGAGGTTGTTGTACTTGCTTTTCTTTATCTGACGACTCTTAATCCTTTTGAGTTATTTGATTATCTGTTTTTGCTTTATTATTTTCATCATTTTAATTACCATTTTTTTAATTGTTATTTGTAATAATAGGTTAAGTAGGTTCAGGTTAAATTTATGAAGGTACAGTATTGGTACTTTTTAAATCAGGTTTAGATTATTCTTAAATAGGTGGTTCAACCTTTTCAACAAAAACAATAGCTTAACTACTTTACTTATTTGTATCATTTTATTTAGTATTTGTAGTTTATTTTTTTTATTCATGATTGCTTTCTTAAGAAGTCTTTGTTTAAATCACAGGGAGTGCTTCTTCCTTTTTGGAATTTCTACCTTCCTCTTTTGCTTAATTATCTTCTTTTTTGGTCGTCTATTCCTATTCAAAAATTTATTTAAGTTAATATTTTTATTACTAATTCAAATCTTTACTGAACCAGATTCCTTAGGTGTTGCTTGTTAATCTTATTTTGTATTTTTTTTACTGAATGTAGGTCTACCCTTTCCAAAACTAATTTCTTCTGAATTGCCTTAATTTTCTTTGCTTTCTAATTTATTCTATGATGAAATATCTTTTTTGCTACCTTTTTAATTATTTTAATCAGAGCTAAATCTACCTGATCCTTTATTTTTTTATTAAATATTTTTTAAATAAAAATATTTCATTCAGAATTAATTATATATATAGATTTTTAAGTAGAATAAATGAAATAAAAAAATAAGAATTGAAAGTTAAACGGTATTTAATATTTTAAAATTTAAAGAAAATATAAATATATTATATTACCATGTACTGCAGAGAAGTTTTTTTCTTCATCAGAATCTGCTAAAAGATCATCTCTACCTCTATCAATTAAAACATGTTTATACTTAGAACCTTCTTTATTGACTTCTTGTTCTAACTTTTCGGCTTATTCAATTTGTTTTTTATCAAACTTGGACATATCTAACTTGGTAGTATAAAACTCATCTTTGAATTCTGTTCCGACTCCAAACTTTTGCTAATTGATTTAGAACTAATCTAAGTTTTTAAAACTAGAAGGCTTAGCCTTTTGGTTAAGTTCTTCTCCATCCTCAATAGATTCACAATTATCAAAAATGAAATTGACAGCTTAAAACTCCCTTTCTCTGTTTTTGTCTAACTTGGTCAATTCTCCATCGGTTTTGATATTTTTTGTATCTTCTAATTTAAATAATATTTGAAATAGTAAATTTAAAATACTTATAAATAAATAAATATCTATTTATTTATTGAATGTTAATATCTTCTTAAAAACGAAATTTGTATCTTTTAAATTTATTATCAGTAGTACAATCTATAAGAATCAAAGTACTTTAGAAATAACTTTCTTAGTCTTATTCAGATGAAATATTATTATATTCCATTTCATTTGTTTTTTTTCAAAGATAGGTTGAGATTTATTTCAAAAAATTTTTAAACGAATTGTTAAATTACTTTAGAGGTTTTTAAAATCTTGAATGTATGGTGGATCCTCTACATCTTCAGCGAACAAATAGACGAAATCCTATTTGAGTAAGCATTTGGTGTTATTAGAGTCATTTTGGTTTTACTTTTTGCTTTAATTTTCTTCACCAGGGTAGGAATTAGTTTGTTCTTTAAAGTTTTTTATCATAACTCCACCATTTTTAGGGTTAATTGTATAAAATATTCCTTCCCCTTCTTAATTATCAGGAAGTTTAACTTTAACTTATTTGCCCTTTATTGTATTAGATAAAAAATTCAATACAGATGAGTCTCAAAAAGATATTATAAATAAGAAATGCGATTTCCATTTTAAGCTTGATCAAACAGCAGCAAATTTAAAATAATTTATCAAAAAATCAATTAATTCTATTAAACTTACAAGTAATGAGAAAACTAGATCACAAAACTTCTTATCCAAAGTTTCTTTGATGTTAATCTATTGAACTTTGCTTGTTATTTCAGAGATTTGTTTATCCATAATTCTGGAATGCTATAAGAGTTGAATTTAGTCTTTTTTAAATATATTTTATTTTTCTATTGGAGTTTATCAAGCTAAATTGATTGATACTTGATTGGTTTTAAGAAAATAATTGCTTTCAAAAATCTATCTAATTTTAATTAATTATATTGTTGTCATTTAATGAATTCTTTTTATTACAAATTATTTTAATTAATCTTATACTTCAAGTAAACGATTTTTTATTTATTTCTACTCTTTTTGCCAAAGCAAAACGATTGCCAATTTAATAGATAGAATCAATCTCATATTGCATATTTAAAGTGGTAAATTATTCCTTTAGAACATGTATAGAGTAAATTTATTAACAAGATTTATTTCTCAAAATCTTCAAAATTAAATTCAAAAATAAAACATTTTTATTTATCAATAAAATAAATTTCACAATAATAAAATTTTATGAATTTTTTACATAAATATTTACAAAATTTTAGAAAATAAATTAATTAATTAGAAATAAATTTTTTAATTTACTATTTACATTTTTATTTTTATTTTTATCTTTTACATTACTTGCTCTATCTATATTTACAAATATTAATTTTTTTCAATTCTTGAATATATACTAAAACTCGTCCCACAGTTTTTACTTCTTACTGAAAGGAAGCAAATTCATAATGAAGTGAATCTAATATATTTTAATTTTTTGTTTACAAAAATAGCAAATATTTTATTTGAAAGTAAAATGAAATAAAAAATAATTCTTTTAAAAACCAAAAAGCATTTATTACTTTATTGTAAAAATGCTTTGATATTAAAGATTATTATTTTTTTGAATAATTTTAGTAATATTTTATTTACTCTTTTAGCAGCATTAATTTAATCTTTTTTTTCTCCAAATTAATAGATAAATTCATTGAGACTGCATTTACCATTGCTCCAAGGATTAGCTTTATTTTTTAAAAGCAAGAGAGCAGTTGTAACATCACCTCTGCAGCATGAGTAGTATAAAGCTGTCTTTTTTACCTATAAAAATAAATTGATTAAAATATAAATAAAATTTTTTTAATCAATTACTTAATTAATATGATCCAAATCAGAGTTATATTCAATAAGCTTTTGAGCAATTTTAGAAAATCCTCTTTTGCATGCAATTTACAATGGAGTATTCATTCCCTTAAATAAAAAATAAATTCATATTTCGTTTAAAAAAATTTGCTTACTTTATCAAAAGTGTATACTAAATACTTGTCATTTTTTAAGAGTTCGTAAACACTATCATAATCATTTGCCTTAATGAAATTAAATAACTCTTATGATCCCACTCTACTATATGCTACTTAGGTAAACAACTTGTTTTCAACAACCTTTTATAAAATTTTCAGATTTAAATTAATACTTACGAAAATGTTATTTACTTCATCCATTGTCAAGTTAAGTTTTTGAACTTTCTGCAAGAATTCAATCATTTCTTTCTTAATTCTGCTCCATTTAGAATCATTTTTGATTGACATTTCAAATTTCTTTTATGTATTAGGACTGATAACATTACCTATTTCAAATTTAACGAAAGTTTATAGTCTTTCATTCTCTTTTTATTTTTATTCTATCAAACTTGTTAACTCTTTACGAAGATTTTACTCTTTGGAATGAATGTACTTTAATTATTAAAAAATATTTTAATTTTAAAAAATATGTTTTTTTTTTCTTATTACATATTTGTCCTCGTTGTATTCTTATTAAACCTTCATTAACTTTTTATAATTTTCATATTCTTCTTTTTCTACAGACTCCATTTATAAAGCAGATGGTTTTTAAATATCGTCAGGATTGTAATCTTTTATTTCTCTTCTATATAAACTAGTAAGATTTTTGTTTTCAAAAAGTTCTTTGTTACCCCTCGGAATATATCTATTAAAGTATTTTTTATTAAAAATTTATTAACAACAAATAAATCAATTATTTTTTATTTATAATCAAATTTATTTATATTTCTTCCTTCTCTTTTTAAGAGCTTATAAAGAAAATATTATTTCAAGACATTATGAATAAATTTCAATGGATAAATCAATAAATAATTAGTTACTTTATTTAATGCAACTTGTATTCGGGAGCAATTTATTCGATAGGTGTATCTTTTTGGTATTTAAGCATATTCTATGTTTTGATAATGTCTTAGAAAAAGTTTTAAAATTAAAGCTTTTCGTCATCAGTAACTTTTTACTTTATTTTTTTAAGTTAAATAAGACAGAGGCTATTCATTACAGAGTGCTTTTTTTAGAATTATGATTTGCTTGTTGTGTTCATGAATGAAACTTGTTTGTCGTTGTTTTAATTTTAAGAGTGGGATGGACTATTTTGGCTAAGATTATCAACATGGTTAATAAAATTCATTTAATTGTAGGTATTAACTTTTTATTAGAAGCTGACTTTATTTGATGACGAATTAGGTTTACCAGATGATAAAAAACTTATTGATTTTTTTACTTTATTACCTTAAGGTGTAGCTTCATTTTAAACCTGTTTAATTGATTTGTTGTTATCAACTGTTAACTAGGTAGCTCCTTTGAAGTATGAGGAGTTTATTGGATTGTTAGTATTATCTTGATTATTATTTATTCTAGCAGATTTAATTTAAATATTTTATCTTTAAGTATTTTATGAAGATTAATGTAAGATTTCATTTTGTGAAATAATTCGAGCTGAATAAGCTTTTGCATTATTAAAATCATTAACTGATTATTTATTATTTTAGGCTTCATTATTTAGCTTAGTTAAATCAAGTTTGAACTTTGTATTCGTTTTAAGCTGAGAATTCGTTGACATTTATTGGCTTGATGAAAATTAATTGAAAGTTTACTAGCTAAGCTGTTTTTTGTTAGTAGGAGTTGTATCAAGACTTTTAATTTAATTAACACAAACTTGATTTAGCTGATCATTAAAAGAAGTTATAGGAGAATTATTTATGTTCATAGTTAATTATCCCTAATTTTTATTCTATGTTCTCATTTGATGATTGACTGAATTAAAATATAAATTATTTTCATTATTGATTTGAGAATTTTCCATTTTTGTAGATTCTTTGCCATGACCATTTTATTATTTGAAAGATATCTGAGACTGCAAATTCAAAGTATTTTTAGTTGAGGATAAAATTGCATTATTTTTGGTTTATGTTTAATATGATGCTGCTATTTGAGATTGACTATCATTCACATCTTTAGAGTCTAAGAAAGAGCTTAGTATATTCTACTAAATCTACTAAATTTAGTTGCTATTTCTTATTTATTTTTAAGATCTATAATTTTACTTAATTTCATCTAACAATTGTTTGCTTGCTGTGCTATTATTTTAAACATTCTCTTCCAAATTTTAGTTATTATTATTATATCCCTTCTAGCAGAGAGTATAATATATCTTCTCTCTCAGCTTTGGCCAGTCTTTAGAATTAATAGTTTTCTCTTTCAAGAATTGATTCACTAATAGTTATTTAGAAGGATTAAGCTTTGTTTGAGAAGAAAATATTTATTTATACTTAGTAATTTAAAAGTCACTTTAGTCCATTTGACTCTAATCAATATTTATTTCAGATTATTAATTGTTCTAGTCTTAAGCCGAGTCACAAGCGTTTTAGAAGTGCTTTATACTAAACTAAGATACATTTTTCATATTTCTATTCTCTTAATGTTATGAAGGCTAACGAGTTTAATTTTAAGTAGATAATTGGCTAGAAAATTTCTATTAAGACTTTGGCTTAATATTTACAGGAGACTTATCTTCAATCATATTTTAACTTTTTTTTCTTAACGTATTTAAAAGCTATAAGCTTTAATTTACTATATTTGAATTATCTCTAGAGATCATAGCAGCCATCTTATTTTAATTATAATGGCTTATTCCCTATTCTATAGATTAATTTAATGTACTATTGATTTTATTATGTGCTCTTTTCTCTACATTTATATTTTTATTTCCCAATATTTCTTTAAATTGATTTTATGTATTAGTATTTGCCTCTGTTCTACTTTGAAATTCCTTTTATATAAAATAAATTTAACAAAAAGCTATAATAAAATCTAACATTTTGAACAATAATTTGATGCAAATTATTTTAATTCGATTTAAACTTTAAATAAATATTTTATAATTGTAAAAAACAATTTAAAAAGAAAGAAAGTGTTCTTTCAAAAATATGTTGATTATAAATACTTGAGTTTGAAAAGAAACATCAGTTATTGCATCAACTGCCTTCTTTCTTGTTTCTTATTGACTAAGCAGCAACCTTCTTCTGGAGTTAGTCCTTCTGTTTTCCTAGCTTAGCTTTGGTTAAACTTAAAATACTTTACTTTCTGATGGTTTATTCAAAGGCAAAGCAATTTCGGATTTATTAAGTTTTTGATGTGTAGGATTTTGTTTGGTTTATGTTAGCTCTTTTGAGTAGATACTCTTTTTGAAATCTTGATGGGTATGAGAGAAATTTCTTTATCTTTGAGGAGTTATTTAATCTCCGTTTTCACTATTATAAAAAGAATTTGATTGGTCCTAAGAATAGCAATGCGAAAACTCAAGCTTAGACTATTATTTAATTTCACTTTTTAAGCTGCTAATAAGTTTTTAGGGAGTATCAGAGCTGAATTTCAACTCATCAACTTGCTTTTTAAAAAGTGCATTTTCGCAGAGGTTTTCTAATCCATGAGATGCTTCAAAGGTGACACCCATCATACTTTGTAAATCTTTCTTATTAGAGTGAAATTTATTTTTGCTTTGAATATTGCTGTTTCTCCCTACAAAAGAATGAGATGAATTTATTTATTATGATGCTGGCAAGTTATTAACACTTTTACTCTTTGATTGCTTTTAAGAACTAGCAGATATTCTAAAGTTATTCTATGCATTTATTTGAGAAGATTTTTCCCATTTTAACTTTTACTGCTGTTAATGTTGATCTCCTACTATGTTACTTATATTATTGTAGTCTTTGCCGTTTTAAAGATGTGCGAATGAGTTAATTTAATTCTAATTTTGCACATTGGTTTGCTTTAAATATCTTAACTAAATCATAGAATTAGGCTTATTTGCCCTGATTAAAGAGGGCGGCTTCATTTTATATATACCAATAGAAGTCGAATTGATCATTAAAATGTTTGAATTATTAAAATTCTGTTTCATCAACTAATCTTTCTACTATTCCATAGTAATTTAATATTAAGAATATGAGGAATTTATTAATTAATTAGTAAATAGTGTATAAATATACGATTAATAATTTACAATGATATTTTCTTTTTGTATAATAAACACTAGACTATTTATTCAATCAAATACTAAATAGCTTATCGACTTATTCTATAAAAGTAAAATTAATAAATCTTAACCAATATATTTCCTCAAAAATTTATCTGAACTATTTAATTGTTTATTTGTTTCAGTAGCCAAAGCTATCAAAAAAGTATTAATAAAATCTACAAAAAACTATAAATTGCATTTACATTATTTATTTTCGTATAAGACTCATTTATTTATTAATTCATCCATTATGAATGAATACTTGCAATAAATTAATCAATCTATTTCAATTTATTTTCTCATAGCAAAATTCTGTTTTTTCATTTTTTTTCAATTTTATATTTTTGGTCAATTTACTTAAAATAATAAATTTAACTTTTCATTTGGCAATTAAATTAAAATATTTAAAATAAATAATTCATTATTCAGATTTTTTTTTAAATAAAATTTTTTTCAAACCTTAAATAATTAAATAAATAATTAATTTAATTAGCTTAAAGTACATTTTGTCATATTTAAAGAAATTAACATTAAAATAATTTTTGTTTAATTATTTATGAGAAAAGTTAGACATCTAGAATTAATTTATTATGAATTTTAGAAAATAATAACAAACAAATAAATAAATTTATGAATAAAAAACTTATTTTATATTAAAGAAAAGAAATGAACAAAGAAAACACAAAAATTCAAAAATTTGATTGAATTTTGAAAAAATATAATGCAAGATGTATATATTTATTTATATGCATTGGAGAGGCCTATTATCTTTATTGCACTGACAATCAAAAACCAAAAAGTCATATAAAATCAATGAAAGAGTGATCGAATGCATTTTATATTTTGAAATATTTATCAAATTTTATTTGGAGAATGAAATATTAATAATAATAATGAATGATAAATATAGTATAATTACTTGTTATGAAGAAAGAAACTGCTTGTAAAGTTGAATATTCAGATAAAAAATAAATGAAGAATTGGATTCTTGGAAAGAGTATTTACTAGTTGAATAGAAATAAAAGTGAAATAAAAAGTGGATAAGAAATAAGAAAATAAAAGTTAGAAAAATTAAATAAATTATTAGAAAAGAGAAAAGAAAAAGCAACGAATAGACTAATATATCTAAATAAAAACGATATAAGGTTAAATGGAATTTGATGATGCTAAACCTCTTTATACGAGGTATGTTTGGCCTAGAGGAGATAAGAGCTTGTTATTTAAAATCTAAATGGTCATTTCGTCCATTATGATTTTTGTAGGTATTGTACAAGCCACCAATATCTTCCTATTAAATAAGCAATAAGATAACTCAATTACGTTAGGCTTCATTGTGATTATTATCTTATTAGTAGTTTTAAGTACTATAAACATTCTTTGGGCTCTCAAAACCAGCAAGCTCTTAGCAGTAAGCGATAGTCCTCAAAATGCAACTAACACAAAGTTCACTTAGGTTCTTTTGTTCTTTACTCTCATTTTGCTTACTTTATATGTGGTCTTCTTCGTCCTCTTCTAGTTTGCTTAATCTGATTTATTCAATGCAGCTATGGTAATTTAATATTCCAACATTTCTTTTACAGCACTTTAAATGTCATCATTAAAAAAAATATTCAAACATTGGATTAATTTTATTGATGCAGACTATAAAAAATTTAAACAATTTAGCTAATCAGAAAACGTAGTTAAGTAATCGTGTATTAAAACTGAAAGCAATAATTTTATTTATTTTAAACAAGCAAAATAAAAGGCAAACAGCTAAAATTCTTCCAAAAGCAATATCAATAAATTTAAATTTTAATAAAATATACTTACAACCAAACTTAGATCAAGCAAAAATTAAACAAAATCATTTTATTTTAAATTAGATTAAATTTTATTTTGCACAAAAACCAATAGATATTTATTAATTTTTACATCAACAGAAAAAATAAAAAATAAGATCAAAATTTATAAACTCAAAAAAAAGAAAAAGAATCGTTAATAATGAATTTTCAATTTTATAAATATGAAATAAGTAAATAAATAAAAATCAAATAAATAAATAAACAAACAAACAATCTTAAGGTTAGAAATTTTAATTAATTAATTAATTAATTAATTAACAAACTCTTCATTCGTTTTAATTAAATTGTTTAATTTATTATCTACCTTAAGACATACTGTGATAAAGAGAAAACTAAAAGATATTTAATTAATTTTATTTCATTAAAATAAAAATTTGATAAACATTTAAAATTTAAAATGATTAATAATTCTAGTTAGATTATTTATAAATAAGACATTAAACATACATTGAAATTTTTCATTCCTTCATTTTTACCTATTTTAAATCTGAATATTTAATTATATTTTATATATTATTTTTAGGCTTCATCTTAGAGCGATTTACAAAAGTACTAAACAATTTATAATGATCACAAATAATGGATTCACATTTTTGGCTATGTTAATTGCGTATTCTTGGTGTTCACAGCTTTTACTCAATAAATCATGAGTGACTCTAAGGTTGCTGCTAATTTGATGATTTTCTTGTTGAGTATTTCTCTTTTGTTTGTTTCATACTATTTGTTACATGCAATTAATGTTTTATACTCTGTCTTTGACTATCCCTCTTACAGCTTTGATACAGAACCTTTAACTGCTCTTAAGTCTGTTGCTGTTGTCAGCATTTTACTTTTAATTATGATCGTTATTATCAACTTACGTAAAAAGGAAGTTTCATATCTTTTATTGGGTACCCTCTTGCTCTTAACACTCATAGTTGCTGTTCCTTCTGCTGGAAAAGTATTCAGAATGTACAATGATGTTAACAATAGTTACACAAACAACTGTCATGAATAGTTAGGCCATTTAGATTATCAATACTTAGCTTCATAAGGTTGCCAACAAAAGTACATTTACAGAGAAGGTTCTCCCAAAGATTGCGGTAACCGTTTCGATGATTGCTTTGAATCAATTGATAACTTACGTAAGACTGGTGTTGAAGAAAAGAGATTCATTACAACTGTTTGGGAAGAAAGTCTTTATCCTAAGTCTAGCTAACAACCTCGTATTGCTGGTTTATCTTCATAGTGCTGTGGTACAGTTGTTAATGTTTACTCTCGTCCCTTCCTCAAAGTTGGAGCTTTAGCTTTGAGCTACATTATTCTTGTTTTCTTTTTGTCAAGCTATCTCTATTCTAACAGTTCTCATCCCTCTTAACCCAATGAATTAGTTCTTTCAAGTGTTTCCAAAAACGTATTATTAGGATTGTTCTTCGGTCTCTTATTGATTGGCGGTATTTACACTGCTGTTAGTAGCCATTCTACTGATGCAGTACGTCGTAACACTGTTGTTGTAAATAAACTCATTAACATTAAGAAATCAAACCCTTCAAACACTTACCACGAATACAATAAGTGTACTTTATTCTAACACTTCGAAGATGAGTCTCTTGTCAACAGTGAATATAGATAAATTGTATTTGCTGATATTAGTGTCTAAAAAGCTAGCAACTAATACTGTGAAAATTGCTAAAATCCTGATTTACTCTTGATTATCTCAACCGTTCGTGGAAACTCAGACAACTGTCCTACAAACTTCAGATTTGATTATCCAAACCCAACTGATAGAGTTCACGTAATTCCTTCCACTCTCGCTCAACCCCTTGCAAACGACTAGGTCTGTTTTGACCCAGCTACTAAGAGAAGTTTATGTACTCCTTGCTAAAACTACTTTGGAGTCAGTGGTGATCCCATTCAAGTCCTTAATTATGTTCGTAGCTCTGTCTCAGCATGCAACAGAGAAGGTTTGAAATTCGTCATTTAAGCTTACTAAGTAGATTCTAAATTATTCTCTGCATAACAAATTTCCACTAAGTCCTAGAATTTAGAATAAACAGTCACTATTGATACTACCTAACTGAAGAGATCTATCTTCCACCCTCACTCTAAGAAAGATAAGGCTCTTGAAAACCCTAGATTACTTGCTGGTTTGAAAAAATTAACAGTCAAATTAGCTGTAAGAGACTTAGTCACCAACTAAAACCTCTCTGGAGCTAACGTCTAGCTTTATGAATCCTATGGTACTGAAAATACATGTTTTGCTGGTGACAATGCTAAACTAATCTACTAAGGCTTATCTACTAACAATGGCATCATCAACTTGGACTTTGTTTACTCAACACTTCCCACAACACGTTATACAATTTAAGCTTCGTTAGATGGTTATGCTATTAATTGTAGAACTTTCACTTTGAATGAAAAACGTCTATTCCTAGATATTGGTCTTTCTCCAGAACTTAAAACTCATCAAACTAGATTTGTCCTTGAATGGGGTACTGAATCAGGTCTTGAGACTGGTTAGGATTTAGATCTTTATCTCAATTCAAACTCTGAAGCAGACAAATGGGTATGCTATTCTTCTTATTTCAGCTCTTAATGCGCTGGTTCTGTTTATCATGGTGATGCTAAGGGTGATAAAATAAGTACTGAGGCTATTACAATTAATGCTTTGGGCTAAACCAAGTATTTAGTCTTCTTTAAGTTACCAGTAGTCTCAAAGATTAACGGAATAGTTGATAACAGCATTATTTCTAACCTCAAGCCAATAGTTAAAGTCTACACATAAGGCTAAAGCAGACCTACTCAAGTCTCTGTATTCGATAACTCATTACAAAAAGGTACTTTCACTGATTATGAAAAGAATTTCAGATTTGCAAATCTCGCTTGGTGCATTAGCGGCTAAAATAGTGAAATTGTTAAGTATGCTAAAGGTTTCTCATACTCTGTTGCCTGGTAAATTGTTGATCCAGATAATTCCAACACATACGATCTTCCTCTCTCTTCTGTCATCTGTTGAAAGAGAATAAGAAATATCTATTAATAAATAGCTTTTATTAATTGAGACATATTTCTAAATATGATTGATTATATATAATCAATCAATATAAAACATACAAATTTACAAATTTTCAGTAAAACAAATTAAATACTTGTTGAAAAACCTATAAAATCTCTTATGAAAAACTAATGAACAAACAACTGATCATATAATAACAAGTATGATCTATTTATATAATGTATTAAATTACATGTATATTTAATTAGTTCATTACCTGTATTTCTATTTTTCTTTATTTTCAATTTTTTACTTTTACCAATTCCTTCTAAACAAATAACAATTTCAAGTAATCATTAAATTAAATTTTTAAATTATCACTGACAAGAAGTAAGCTAATAATATGTATTTACTTAAAAATGGTAGTTCTACTTTACTAATTTGAGTGATTTCATTTTTTTCAATCATTTTTTTAATAAAAACTATTTCAAAAATGAAATACATTAGATATTATAAAGTAAGAATGATTTTATAGAAATCTTTTATAAAAAAAAATAAAGTCTGATAACTTAATAGTAACTTTACCTAAATTAATGAGTATATGCAGTATTTTATTTTATTGAATTATTGAACTCTAATTCAAATTTCTATTTTATGTTTTAAAGAGTTTGAATGAATATTTAGAGTTAGTTCTTTTACTCTTACATACTTTAAAAGATATTTAATTTTTATCTTAACTTAGTGTATGATAAATATAAAATCTTTATAAATTAATTTATTTGATATGCTTTAATAAAAATTATTCAATTTTGACTGTAAAATATCCATTAAATTTATTGAAAAACCTTTAAATTATTAGAATTATAAAAGCAATATAATACTTATTAGAATATTTAAGTATTTAATAAAATAAAATTAGATTTTAATATTAAAATATTTTTACAAAATAATTAGATTGATCAATTAATTTAATTTATTACAACTACTTGCTTTATTTCTATGAAGTTTCTTCAATGTGCCATTTTAAACCCTCAGAAGCATCTATAAGCAATTTAAACCTGATAAAATTTGAATAACATTAAAATTATAAAATAAAAATAGGATCATCAGATTTCGATAAAATTCAACTCTGATATACTCAAAACCTTTTAAATAAATATCAGGCTAATCTAATTTAATATTATATAAAGAATTAAAGAGATCAATTCATTTAATTAAATTATGATTTAAAATTAGAAGTAGGATAACAACAAATAGGTTAATCATAATCGCCACTATAAAAATAGCTACAATAATAGCAAACAAGATAAGTGTGACTCCTTTCAAATGAATTCAGTAAATAATATTAAAAATGACAGCAACAGTGCATGCTTTAACTAAAAATATTGCTTTGAATGGAACATACCTCTTAATGATAATCTAGTTAACATTTAAGGATATCCTCTTTCAAGTCTCATAGACAAATTTGAATTGTAAATATTAAAAATGAATAATAGATTCTCAAATTATTTTTCTTTCATATTCATATTAAATAATATATTAAGTAATGAAATCTAAGAAAAGTAGCTTAAGTGACTTAAGCTTTTTTGAATATTTCAAAATTTAAAGAATTTATTTTACTAAGCTATCAATTAACCTATTGTCATATTTAAAAACAGGCCAGAATACGATGAATGTATGTCGATGCATCAATGCGCTATCACTAAGAAAATACCACTTAATGGAACTCTATACATATACAATTCAAAAATTTGTTTTTTTTCTCGTTATAATGCAGACACTCTAGTTGGAAAAGCTACTATTGTATCTATCCCATTAAGCGATGTATCTTCAGTTCAAAAAAAGAAAACTGGTTTCATTTTCAACTAAGGAATTGAAATAATTCTTAAAAATCATCAGCACTTTTTTTTCTCTGCTTTTAAAGATCGTGATTAGGCTTACAATTACATGACTGAGCTACTTTCATGGTAAAAACGCTTATAGCCTAGTGCTGAAGATCTGAATATAGAATGCATCAGATAAGAGCTTTAGGCACTAAAACAGTAGATTGAATAGAGTTAAATTAGTAAAAAAACAAGCAAAAAAAAAATTTTCAGTTAAAATAATGCTGGAAATGGACTTTAAAAAGATGTTCAATATGAAGAAAAACAATAAGATATCATTCAATTGTCTTCGGATGAAGAAGAAGATGAAGAAGAATGGGAAGAAATAAAGAGTGTAGAAGAAATGTAAAAGAAAAAAGAGGTAGAAAATCAATGGAATTAGCATATCGATAAATTAACTTAAGTATATCAGCAAAGGGTTGAAAAATTGCGAAATGCTGTATTAAATAACTTTGAAGTATCTACCAAAGCTAAGTGGACTTCAATAGATATAAAAAATGTCTCTGCTAAAGAGATATACATACTATTCTTTGGAAATAACATATTTGAAGATGAAAAATAAGTTGCGTATACAAATTTTGGGATGTACTATAACACAACTGTGCTTAATGAGCTGAATATGGTCTATAGTGACATAGTTCCAGAACCTCCTCTTTATTTTACTAATCTCTATGACAATAACAAGCTAGAAATTATTGATTATGCAGAATATTCTACAAGAAAATGTACCTTTACTCATATTATAAAAGAACCATTTATGCCAAAAAGTTGTGACTGTTTTATTGAAGAGAAAATTTATTGGGTATCTCCTAAAGAGATATTGATAGAAAGGGAGCTTGCTTTCTAAGGAATACCACTTTCTAGTCATTTTAATCCAAGAGTGATCTACCAAATATTGGAAACAGGAGAGTCAGATTAAATTAAAACTTAAATCAGAAGTGGATATTATATCCATTACGTAAAGGACACATGGTTTAAATCAAAAATAGATAAAACTTCTGATGAAGAAAATATAAAAAATTGGGAAAAAATCAGTAAGCTCTATATCAAATATTCAGAGATATGGATTAAGCGCAGAGAGTAAGGTCTGTAACTTTAAAAGAAACAAAAAGCTGCAATCCACTCATCTTAAATTAAATAGCAAACAAACTGTAATCCAGAGCCTCAAAATAATGTAGATCAAGATTTAGAAATAATTTAATCATCATAGAATACTGATGATAAATAAATAGCTGATATAGCAGATGTTTCTTAATCAATGTGTAATATTTTTTGATCAAAAAAATAATTAAACAAATAAATAAATAAATAACTATCAATAAATAAATATCTATTCTTATTTATTCAATTTATAATTTCTATTAAATTGTAAGACTTGAAATTAAATCAATTAATAAATTCCAAATTCATTTATTTAATTAGCAATTTGATTTTGTAATTATATAAAAGACTTTAATTATTTAATGATAATTCATATTTAATTCATTAAATAGTAAAAAAAATGATCAAAAAGATAATTAGTTGTGCTAATGAATAAACCTATAAGAGAAGCAAAGTTATAACTTAAATGCAAAATTAAAATTTTAAAGTAAAAAATAATTAAGAAAAATATTAATCTTATTTTTAGTTAAATCTTTTATTTATTTAATTAAATTAACTTAATTTTTGATAAAATAAATCTATTTTAATTCAAATGAAATATTTATCAAAGATTATTAAAGTTTTATGTATTATCTATACTGCTGTCATTGTAAGCTGAATACTCATAGCCATCATATTCCTTTTCATTTAATTAGATTACTTTAGGAAGGTTCAATACGAACTTCTCATTCGCGTTTGGACCTTGATTCAGTTTACTAAGAGAACTATTAATACGCTGCTATATATCTATTTTAGTGTTTGCTGGCTTCTTTTTGGAAGCTAATGCTAGAGGATCATAGTCATCAGTTCTATACTCGAATTCAACTACTTTTAGATCATCTAAGGAATCTTTTTCACTTTCTTCCTTCTCAATTGGCTTTGGCTAAATAGGTTAGAAATAGTATACATTTTTCTTTAATTCATCTGGATACCTACTCTCTTACTCTCTTTTAATTTATTTCTTTTATTCTTCTTCATTATCAAATATCTTTTAAAAAATACCATAAAAATATATTTAAAAAAATTCTTTAAAGATAATGAATAAATAAAATTACTAATTTGCCAAATTCATCTCCAGCAAATGGATCAAATTTTTCTTCTCCATCATCTCCTAATTTGCTTTCAGCTACAGGGACATCTAATTTTTTATTTGAAGATTTTGCCTTGTTTGATTTAGCTGGCGATTGCTTTTAATTGTAAGTTGTTAATGGTATATCTTTAATAGGAACAAGGATATCATATTTAACTGAATCCACTCCATCATGCTCATGATTGTGAAGATATTTATCGATATTATCATTTGTCTTTTTTATTCTATCTCTCATACTCATCAATCTGTTTTCTTCATCTTCTAAATTGTAATACGTGATTTTCAATTTTCTTTATCTGATATCTTTTTCTCGTTCTCCTTCTTCTCTTCTCAAAAATTCTATTCCATTTTCATCTTCCTCGTTACCCTTTTATGAAATTTCTAAAATTTCTGATAAACTCCTTTAGCTTTCATCCTCACTAAGTTTCTCATTAAGAAGCATTTTGTATCTTCTTAATCTTTCGTCATATTTATCTTTTTCATTTTCATATTTCTTAACTTCTATTACAGGCATTTCTAGTTTTCCATGTTGGTTAATAAAATAAACTTTACCAGTTTGCAGCTTTTTATTATTTATACATACAACTTTACTAAAATATTTAATTCAGATTTTAACAAGAAAATTACCTTATCGACAAGCTAGTCGTAAACTTTGGAATCTAAAATTTCATGAAGTATCTATAAAATATATTCTTTATGAGTACCGTAACTAGATATAACAGCTAAAGCTTCCATAGCTGCTTTTCTAACTTTCATTACTTTATCATCTAAAAATAAAGCAATTGTAGTTAGTACGTGCTTCATATCAATATATCTGATCTATTTATTTTATGATAAATAAATAAATAAATAATTTTTCCTTTAACAATCATAAAGTTAATTTGTTAATTTATTTATTTAAAAAATCTAATTTAAATTTTATTCAAAATGTTTTTTTATTTTAAAGCAATCCTTTATATTCAAAAAACTTTGTTGTAATTTCTTACATAAAATCAACTTATTTACATCAATATCAATTTTTTAGTATTTTTTTTTTGCCTTAAGATTTTTGAATTTATTTAATTTTTGATAAATAGTTTTATTAAGAATTACAATAAATTTTAAAAGGAATAAATAAATATATTTACACTGTTAGCATCATCTCCTTAAAGTTCTTTAATAAATGCATTTTCGTACCATTCTTCAGGATAGCCATCAAACAAACAAAGAAACAAAACTGAAATAAGATTTAGTATTTCTTCTTTGATGTGCCAGTTAGGATTTGTTTGATTATTTAATTGATCATTTAGAAAAAGACAAAAACTTTTTAGAAGAGTGTGTTTTTTAATAGATGTAATCATAGATCTGACTATAAAAAAAGCTGTATTTCTAATATTAATTCTTTCTTCTCCTAACTTTCCTATTAAAGGAGGAAGTGCTAAGATTATATAGGCCTTCATTTGCATACCAGCACTATGTTGAATTAAAGTAGAAACAATTTTCATAGCGTTTCCACTTATAATGAGGTTTTTGCTACTTAATAAATAAGTAATGAATTTATAAAATGCTCCCAAATAAGATCTAATATCATTGATTGTATCTTCAGGAGTTTCGCAAGCCTCAAAAGCTTCTAAAACTTCTTTAGATGCTTGTATTTTTACCTATAATAGGAGTTTTTATGATTAAATATATTATAAAAAAAGTGAAATTCTATTTACTCTTAAATCTGATTCATTAAAGCAATCTATTAGAGTATCTTCTCTAATCAAATTGAAGTATAAGCCATTCATCCCCAAAGGAAAGAAAGATAGAATCTGCTTTTTAGTAAATTGTGGCATTTCTTAATACAAATAATACTTTCTGATACCATCTGTATTCTCAACAATAAAATCCTACTAATAATCTTCAAACATATGTAAATTTATTTCACCAAATTTCTCATACAGCTCCTTTATCTTATAAAAAAATAATTGAAAAGTTTGATATAATTTCATATTTATTTAAACATTTCAAATGTAAAAATTTCTTTAAACGATTCATGAATTAAATTGATAGTTCTCTCATTTTAGACATTTAAAAGTTATTATTCTCATTATCTTAAAAAAAGTTATAAAAATTGCTTAATAATTTTAATGAAAAATTACATAAATATACTTTTTAATCTTCTTATTCGAGGTGTTTCTTATTAACAACATTTTCCATCTATTATTGATGTTCTTTTGACAGTCTTCTTTGAACTTAAAGAAACCCTTCGTAATTCTTTTGCTTCATAATTTTATACAAAACTTTTTATGCCTTAATTCTAACATTTTCTACACTATCATTCAGTTTTATAATTATATTTTCTATCAATCTCCTTACGTCGTTCAATCCAGAACGAGAACAAAATATATTTTAACATATATCTAAAAATCTAACACTTGATCCTATGCTTTTTTCTCGTAGAAAATAGTTTTCTGAGCTAAACCCATACTTAATTAAATAATCTATAATTAATTCAATATTTCTAGTTTTTTTAAGAAAATTATCAATAACTAGCTTTGTACTGCGTCTTATTGATTGATCTGGCTCAGCCAAATTATTAATAAGTGGTTATAAAATATATTTAAAATTGAGTTCTATTTCTTAACTAAGAAGAACTCTGATTAAAGTGCTGATAGTTTAATGTAAAAGCAGTATTAGATTATCTTTCTTTGCGCCAGCAAGAGTTTCAGAAAGCATCATAAAAAGTCTTCTTAATTCAGGGAGGATAACTTGCTAATGGCTTTCGATTTATTTTTTTAAATCCTCTATAAGTTCATATTTTGTTTCGTCATCATTGCTTTCATATACTGTTCTAATTAATACATTAAATTCCATTATAAATTAATTAAAGGCCAATATCTTAACCTAAAAAATGTAATTTGAGTTATTTAATATAAAAAATATAAAGAATTGACAAGTAATTCCTTTCTAAATTAAAAATCAATCAAATAATTACTATTTTTTTTTTAGTAAATAATAAATAATTAATATATATAAACTGCTTAATTTATTTTTTAGAAAATTAATTGCATCAGAAATTGTAGTAAACCGCATTTAAAAAATATCCTAACGAAACGAAAAATACATAAAAAAATTTGAAAAATAATCATTAAATAAATATTTAGCAGTTTAGCATAACTTTAAACTGAGTAAATAAATAATAATTAAATTTCAAATATTTTTAGGCAAGTAGTAGAAATGTAGATTAATTTAATCAATAAAATCATAGCTATAGCTCAAAAATTTTTTCAAATTTAAATGGTTCTCTAAAGTTTAAATTATAATTTTTCCAAGAAAATATTTAGAATTAGAGTTTAAGATTGCTTATAAAAAATGTAGATTTTTTGAAAAAAGTAATTTTTCATATTTATTTAAAGGTATTTATGAAAATATGAATCTATTTTTGATATTTAAAAATATTTAGCTTTCAAGTATGAATAAAAGTAGTTTTCTGAAAGGGTGTGAAAAAATAGTGAAATTTAAAAAGATTAATCGAATAGATTCAACAGAGAATGCGTTGATTTTGGGATAATAAAAATTAAAATTTGCATTTGAAATTGAATGTATACGATGCCATACCAATTTAATAAATTTATTGGATGAGTAATATTTAATTTAGGAATAGTCTTAAATTTTGTAAGAAAAAATTAATTGGAAAATAAATTAAATTTTTGTAAAAATTTAACAAATTAGAATTGAAAAAAAATAGGATAAATAGAGAGACCATAACATGAAATAGGCATTTTTAAAGAAGAGATCATAGATTTCGAAATAGATTTTATATTTTTATTAGGAAGAATTATACCAAATTGTGAATGTATATCCAAGAAATAAGCCTTTTTACTCAGCAATGACATTGATAAAGCACCTTTTAATATTTTTCTTTTCTCTCTAAAAGCAATTTAGCAAATTGATTGACGCTGATTCCAATTACAATTTTTTAAAGAAATATGGTATTGTTGATTTTATGAAAAATTATACTTTAAAGAGAAGTCTTAGAGTGATATTTTTATCAGTTAATGGAGCGATTTTATTATACATAGCCTTTGCATTTGCAAGAAATATTTTTAAGTCACAGAAGCTAAGTAAATAAATAGACGAAAAATATATACTAAATAGAGTATACTCAAATGAAGAAAATAAAAATGAAAAGAAGAATTAGATTATAACTCTATTCTCCTTTTTTACTATCATACACAAATATATTTTATATGTTCCTTCTGTTTTTTTAAGTCTCCATGGAATAACTCGTAATCCTCTTGCAATTATACTACTGCTTATATCAATCCTTTTGAGTAAATAAACTTTTTTATTTTTGATTAATATACTTCATTCACATAATATATTTGCAAATAATTCACTTTTCATCAATTTTTTTTTAATTAATTGATCAAGATAGTTTTATTTTGTTTGTTTACATTAATATCCTTTTTATAAATAGATGTAATTATATCTGACGTTGATTACAATTATGAAATTAAGTCTATAGATTATTTAGCTAAGCCTTTTTCTTATGTGTCATTCATTTTTAATACAATTATTGAGTTTTGCTTTTTTTTAGCTATTAATTATGTTCCAAACGGCTAGAGTATCTTGTTAGCAGCATATTTTTTAACAAGCGCGGTTATTTAGCATTTATTTTGCTAATTTTACAACAAGAATTCTTAGTTTTTAAGTGTGTTTTCACATATCAGCTTATTTACTATAAGCATTATAATTCAAGTAGGTATTTCTTTTAAAATACCTAATTTGCTGATAAGTATTCTCACTGTAGCTTACTTACCTATATGCTTTAAAATAGCAAATATTATAATTAAAAGAAATTGCTAAAAAATTGTTGATGAATTTTAGAGTTTAATCCTTGAGAATTAAAATAGCAACATAGATTTTGACAAGATTATAAGATTGAATTTATTTGAAGATATTGCTAATTCTAGAGAAAGTGAAAGAAGAGATGTATAATTATTTAATTTGATTATAAACAGCGATATTGATTTCTCTAACTCAGTATTTGTATCTCCCACAATGTAAAAATCACACTCACCTCATAAATTTTAAAAAATATAACAATTAAAATAAGAAAATAATGTGGTCAAAAATAAATTATAAAGTCAGATTTAATAAACTTTACAGATTGAATAATTTAATGATAATGCTCACATGGTTATAGTGAAAGACAGAGTTAAAAGAATTTTGAAAGAGTAATTTAAGAAAATGTTAAAAGAAAAATAGAGAAACAAACAAAGCGGATTTTATGAGTAACTAATTTATTTTGTGTTTTTGATTGAAGTCAATCAATCATACAGGATCTATTGGCTTTAGCAACTAGAACTTAGTGTTAATAAAAATTTGTCTATGAAATAAAAGCAAATGTTTTATTCTGTGCATTCAATTTTCTTGAAAAAGAGATCTGTAATGAGAAAGTTAATGGGAAGGTCAAACCCGTTTGATTGCTCCTTTTTAGAAGTGATTGTTTTCGAAAAGAGACTAGAGCAGTCTTATGTTCTGTTAGATTTGGCTGTCAAATTAAAGTTAGAAATATTAAATATAATGAAATAGAAAGAGATAAAAGTAAATGATTTGATTTAAAAAATTGAACTCATGTAACAATTAAAGAGAGACCTCAAAGTTCATTTAAATTCTCTATGTTACATGAATGATGATAGTTTAGATCTCTTAAATATTTAGGCACTTTTTTTGGAAAATTTAGCTTTTAGTGAAAAAGATATTAATTTAATGTAAGTAAACAAATATAAAAAGAAATATTAAGCAAAACTACGTCATAAATATTTGGATAATTTATAAGATGATGAGATTGTAAGCAGTACTCTGAACAATGATAGATTTGATGAAAAAACTTGTATTGTTTTCGCAAATTACAAAGACCAGAGAACATTAATAATTAATTCAGTTTCATCTAATTTCCAAGATATTTTCTATTTTACAACTAATAATGATATCAAAGGTCATAATATTGAGTCAATAATACCTTTCGCATTTTAACCCATTCATTCTAAGTATATTGAAAATTATTTGGATGAAGAAATTTCTTGCAGCACCAATTAAGATTAAAAAAATGGCTAGATATTGATTCAAGAAGATAAAAATACTCTTTTAGATGAAGAAACTCTGGACTTAGATAAAAAAAATGAAGCATAAAAGGCAAGAGAAAAATATAAAAATAGTTTGGAGATTTAAGACTTTTGCGAGTATTAAGGTTGTAGAATGAATCGATAAATTATATTTGCTTAAATTAATCATATGCTTATATTACCAGTTAGAATAGATTTACGCGTAAACTATTTTTAAGATGAAAAAACATTTGGTTTAACGGCTAAGATCAAGCATATAAATTACTAATATGAATATGTTCTTTATGAAGAGGATAATTTAAATGTAATTGGTTTAACTGATAAGTTTCATTATACATTTTTTCCTAACAAAGAGTCACTTGCTAAAATAAGTATAAAAAAAGTATTCCCTTTTTTGGCTGGAATTTAGGATGTTAACTACAACAAAGATAAATTAGAAGAAAAAAATGAATATCATAATAATCTAACTGAATAGATGGAAAATATTTTAAAAGAGTAGTAAAAGTAAAAGAAGAACTAACCCAAAAGATAAAAAATTAATTTTATTGTCATTTAGGAAATAGATCCAAAAAGTGGCACAATGCTTTCGACTGCATTTTCTTTGGCTAGTAGCAAAAAATCATTAGCAGTTGTAAAAAGTACGAAATAACTTAAAAGTATGTATGTTTAAAAAGATTTATCTAGCTACACATTCACTTTTGTGTAGCTTTCACTTCACAAAGTAAACTATAGAGGCATAGAAGATATAAGTTACATTGAAATACAAAAAATGAGATAATTGAATCCTTATGAATAAGCTCCTTACATTCTTTCACAGTTAAAAAATCCTAAAAAGAGAGAAATTTATGAAAAATATTTCTAAACAAATTAAGATCTTGAAAAAATAATTATTGAACTTGAGTAGAAAGCAATTTTATGCAATCATTCTGCTTATAATAATTAAGCTTCCTCTTCTTTATAAGCTATTAGTGCTCTTAATAACTTTTTAGTTGCACAAAATTCTAATAACTAAATTTCCATTCAGAGTTCTTCATTAATTAACAACTTATTACCTCAAAATCAAAATCAGAATGTTTAAACTCCAACTTAGTAGAAAAGCTCAACTTTAGAAGACAACTAGAATATAGAGATCGGTAGAATTAAATCTGGAAACATAATTTTAGATTAAGATGTAATAAGTGAGTAAGAAGAAGACGAACTAAGCGTATAAGGATTGGAAGTAAGCATAGATAAAAAAGATAATAATAAAAAATAAAAAAATAAAAATAAATAACAATTAAATTATTAGATATGTAATAAATAAAATAGTATAGAAATAAATAATAATATGGCATCATAGTAAAACCCATCCTTATAAGATTAGAATTTCATACATTCTTTTTAAGAAATTTAATAAGAAGATCACGTCGATAATTAATTCTTGATAAATAATTTAATAGGTATGAATGATTTTCATAAAAACATGAATTATTATTAGAACTAATCTAGTTTTAATGAAAAATCAATAAATAATGAAATGTATTCAATTAATTATAATCAAAATACTTTTTATAACAATCATATGTATAATGAAATTGATGAAATTAAAATACAACAATCAAGTAATTAGCTAAATAAATTAAATACCACTAACAACGATGAAGCCTCAAGGATAGGCTTACTCAACAAACAATAAAAGCAATAAAATCTTCAATATAACTAATAACAAATCCCTTAACATTTGATTTCACCTGTAAGCAGTGAGAAAGCATTAAATTTAGTATTCTTTTCTCCCACAAGCAATTAAACTTTAAATATAAATGATAAAAATTAGCAAACAGCTACATCTCTTTCATGCTAAGAACTTAAGTTTTTTTCTCCGCGAGCAACCCAGTAAAGTATTTCAAATCTGATAGAACCAAATTAAGATAAAAAGATAAATAATGAAAAAAATAGACCTTCTGAATGGTTATTGTCTCCTAAGAGTATAGAAGGATAAACTTAAAGATCTGATTAAGATTTTAAATTTACTGCAAATGCTGTGAAGTTATCTGCAAAGGATAAAACTGAAGATAATGTAGAAGCTAAAGCAAATTAATATAATATATAAATTTAGAATTAAAATTATATAAGTTAGCCTGCTCCAAGAGGTACAAAAACTGATGATTACTCAAAGGAAAATACAAAATTTTAGCATAGAGAAGAATATTTTAGTACTAGTACTCCTTTTGGATATAATTAGTAAAATAATCAGAAAGAAGACAAAAATACAAAAAAATTAAAAGTGTAAGAGATACAATACGATATAGCTTCTACAAATTCTAAAGATTCCAGTTCAGCTTCAGCTAAAAGGTAACTTTAATAAATCATGGCTGATAAATCATTGCTTTAAATTATAAAAGTAATAAATATTCTAGGCATTTTATGCTTTTGTATTATGATATGTTTAACTTGGGTTTAATATGGATAAACAATAAATAATATCAATGCTTCCTATTTTGATTATTAAGTTTTTAACTGGCCAACCTAATACTAATCTTATTTAAGCTCAATAGTAAAATACCAAAATATAAATTATATGGTAAAATATTCTACAGATTTAAAGTTTGCTAACTTAACATAGAAATCGTTATTCAGAAACTAAACAAGAAATAACTTAAATTATATAAAATCAAACATAATTAATTTGATAGCCTAAATGGAAAGGGCTAGTACTGAAAGAAAGATATTCCAGTTATTAAGGAATAATTATTTCATATATTATATAGGCTAGTATTATGATCCTAACTAATTATCTAATACACCTTCAATACCTTCGAAGCTATTATAAATCCAATATAATACGACACTCTAGTATGGAGTTGTGCTGTCTTTTTCGAATATTTATCGCTCTTTCAGTTCTACTGGTAATGGTACTACTGGGAATAGTAGCACAAATGCTAATTCTAGAGCTGAATATTACATGATAAGTAACGAATAGTAAGAATTATAAGCATTAAAAGATATCTAAAATAAAATGGTTACTTTATAGTAAAATGAATAGCAGGGTATTTCAGATTAACTAACAGTTCTAATGGTATTAATTATAACAATAAATGGAATTTGTTTCAGTATAATTCTACCTTTGTATTACTATATTTAAAAAGAAAGAGATGTAATAATTTCCTTGTTTGCAACCTTTTCAACTTACAAGATTGATTCTCTGATAAAATAGATATAGAGATCCTACTATAACTAAAAATAGTTATCAATACATTCAAATAAAAATAGCCTATCAATTAAGCAAACAATAGCATCACTTTAAAGCCTATCAAAAGAAAAAGATGTTCGCAAGCAGAATATAAGTTCAATAACTAAACTACCTAGATTTAATCCTAAAATAGCAATCATTGTTTTCTTCATTTACCTCTTGATAATTTGCTATCCTATCATCGTTAAAATTGTCACATAAGATTATTTAGCAAAGACAATTTTAGACCTCTAAACAATGAGTAAATATTTATCAAAAGACTTTATTTCTATATTATAAAAAATCTAAATATTTCAATCAAACTATTTTCTTTCTTTCTTTCTTTACTTACTTATGACTAAATTACTTAGTTAGTAACTTATTATTTACTAAGTGACTTTTGCTTCTAATTTTTCAATTATAAAAAAAACATATTTTAAAGAAATAATTTTAAAATAATGTAATTTATTTTGTATTATTTTAAATAATATTAGAGAAGGTTTATTAATTAAGATCTTATCTTTTAGAGAATATAGCAATAAATTTTAATGTTATTGTTATGAAAATAAATCCAACTTTAAAGCCTATGTCCCCAACTATGTACTATGATTACTTAAATAACTTAAACTAATAATAACAATAAATTAACACTGATATCTAATGGATAGTTAGTTCTTAATACTAAAATAGCAGGTATTGATAAAATAATTTTATTTTTTATAATTTTTAATTAATTTTATTAAAATAGGTATAATTAAAATCTTTATGATAGCTTTTTCTTTTCTGCTTTTAAAAAAAATCTCTGTGATGTATTCAACCAGTATCCTTAGTATAATACTAATTCTACTAAATTAAATACTACAATTTGTGATAGCACTAATTAAGGTTTTTTACAACAAGGCTTTGAGGTAGCTTACAAATAAACTTTATATCTTTTTCCAGATTTGTATAGAATGTATACTATCCCTGATAATAAAACTTCAGTTGCTCAAATTTCTTAGTTTTTATCTACTTTTAACATTATTGATTATATGCTTTACACAGAGTTTCTAGATGAGTGTATTGTTAGTTTGAATTAGTTTATTCTTTCCTAAAATGACTAATTCTATGATTAGATAATTTTATTTTAAATTATTTTGATTTCGATATAAATCATTTTAATGGTATTAGTTTTCTTTTTAGGATGGGTTTCTTTTAGCAGCTATTTAAATGACTCCTTGCACGAAACTAAAAATTATTTATAAATATTAGACATAAATACTTTGATAGAAAACACTTATATTTTAACATATATAAAAAAAAATTCTACAATTTGATCATTTAAATCAATTTATCTATCCTTTGTTCTATTTTCATCATCATACATTTTTAAAATAAATTGTAAACAAAAACAATATTCTTAACTAAATTATTCTAAAATATGGATAAAAAATTTGAAAATTATTAATTTTTAACATTTAAATTAAATTTTATTTAAATTAATTTTGAAATAATTTTATAATATTAAATTAAAACTAATTATTTAGTCAAAATTTTATGGAATTTAAAAAATTAAACAAAAAAATTATTTTAATCAATGTCAGCCAAATTTAATCATAATATTTTATTCCTTTTAGTATTTCATTTTTACTTTATATGTTTGAAATTTCAAAGTTTACTTGAGTACTCATAATTTAAAATAATAAAACCTAATATAAATTCTAGTAATAATTTGAAATAGAATTTATATTTTGTTACTTAATGTTCTTTGTATTTCATTTTTTAAGGGTGTATTCGAGAATTCAAGCTTAACTTTATTTTAGTAATTAAAAGGATAAGCACTACTTAAATATCAAAACTTTTTTATCCAAAATTTATGTTAAAAAGTATATGAATTAGAAGAAAAAAATCTTTAAGATTAAAAGTACAGTTTAGTTTAGTATTATATTAAAGGTTGACAATAAATTTTTATTTTGTTTGCAAAATGTAGTTGAGTGAAACATAAAATTAAAGTATTTCAAAATTAGATGGAGTCATGTAAATTTAAAGAATTGCATTTAATAAATATGAATTTATTTTATAAAGTAACCTACACTAAAATATTTAGAGAAAATATCTTTGAATTATGAAAAAATTAATTAAAGAAGAGGAAAATATTGATTTTTCAAATTTAAAAATTCGTTTAAATTTATTATTGTAATCAAAAATTTTTTGAAATTTATTCCTGGTCTTTTTTAATAGCTGTGTGAAATTTTAATAATCTTAATGAAAATTAAATTTATGGCAAAAAATTAATTCCAATTCTTTCTTAATAATAAATTTTTTTAATAATTGATTCTTAGGGTATTGATGAAAATTAAATTAATTCTGACAAATTAAATTTATTTACAATGTTAAGAATTATTTCTTTTAACTATTTGCTTTTCTTTTTTTAATTTAACTTTAAAATCTAAGAAAGTAACATCAAATATTTATTAAGAATAAATAATATTTTTCATTAGTTTTGCTTTATAAATATTATTAACAAATTTTTATAGATTCCATTTTAATTTTTTAAAAATGTTAAAAAATCGATATCGCTAGAAATGCAATAAATTCATTTACTGTAAAATAGTAAATACTATTAAAAAATGTAAAAAATATTAAATAAATAGATAGGAATTATTTTAACAGATTGATGATTATTACTCAGTGTTAGAGTCATAAGTTACTTATATTATTATAAGTCAAGTTTCATAATAAATATCAAATATGATAAACGAGTGATACTATGAATTACAATGAATGATTAACTTTTAAGGTAAAATAAGAATGTAAATTTTATATTATTATTGCTTACAAAAATTCAGGAATTAAGTACACATTTGAAGTATCAATATTATTAATAGTTAGATATTCATTCCAAAAATTAAAATTTTGTAAAAATCAACCCTAGTTTATTAAAGTTGTAATATAGTAGTAGAACACAAAATATTAGATTATGATTTAGCAAGATAGCAGGTAGTCAAAGAGGACTAGGTATTTTCAGAAATTTTATACTGAAGAAATATATAGATTGGCTCACGCATATAGTAGAGATAAACCATGGATTGCAGTGTTGATAGTAGTTAAACAAGCTTCTATATTCTTTTTTTCTGTTTCTACTCAATTTAATGATATAGTTAATTCAGATAGTAATTTTGACTTTTTAAAACAAAATGGAATAGTCGGCTATTTGGATAATGATACTCTGATGTAAAACTTAAATTATATTTTATTCTCTTTGAACGCTTGCTTGATTGTCTACATTTTTTTAGTTTTCTTGAGATTTCTTTTTAAGTGCAAATCTATAGAGTCAAAAGAATAAATAAACTAGAAATTAAATACAAACTATCTAAATGAAGAAAGAGCTAATGATAAGAGTAGCTTAACTGATAAGCTCTTCTCATTTTTTATCATCATATACTAACATTTTCTATATATTCCATCAATATTCTTGAGCTTACACAGATTTAGTGATAGCATAACTGCTATAGCCTTGACTATAATTGCAATATTCCTTAGTAATAATTAAACAAATATATAAACAATTGATTAATTTTAAGTTTACATTTTTTCATCAAGAATAATGATCTAAAATATGTGAAATATAATTTCTGAATAATAAATGCTTCAATTAAAAATACAATTATTTATATCATTATTTTCTAAAATTTAGATTTGATTGTTTCTGATGTTGATTACAACTATGAAATTAAGTCTGTTAATTATCTGGCAAGACCTTTTTCTTACACTTACTTTTCATTTAGAGTTATTCCAGAAATATTCTTTTTTATAGGAATAATATTTTCTCCCAAAGGCCAAAGCGCAATATTGGCTTGCTATTAATTATCTAGTGGCTTTATTTCTTTCTTTTATTCTGATTATTACAACAGGATATCTTAATATTTGAACGTCTTTATGCATATCACATTATTCTGCTTAAGTGTAATTATTTAGGCTGGTATTTCATTCAAATTTCCATAAAACTTAATTAGTCACATGTTTATTGTATTTTTACCTCTTTGCTATAAGGTTACATAGTACACTATACAAAAATACTATCAAATTATTGATGATAGCATTTAAATGTTAGTCTCTGAAAAATATAACGAGGCGATTAAGCTAGATAAAATAGTAAGAATGAATCTATTCAATGAAGTGCCTGATTCTAGATAAAGCGAGAAAGAGGAAATCAAATTGATGAATTTAGTTTCTAAAAGCCAATAAAACTAATTTAATCCTATATTTAAATTTCTCGAAAGGTTTAACTTGAACTTAAAATCAATATAAAAAGCTTAAGATTTTCAACACGAAAGCAATAAATTCAAAAAATAAGAGTAAAATTTTTTAATAGATTTAGAGCAATTGTTAAAATTTATTTTAGATAGTAGGTGGTTAAAAAGTAAATTCTGCAGATAATTACAGAGTCATTTAAAAAGAGCTTTAAGGAAAAAAACAGAAAAAAAGAGAGCATCTTTTAGCAATAACTCAATTATTTCGTTTTCTTAATAGAGATCACACAATCTCATAGAATTTATTGGATTTAATTTTTGCAACTGTCTATGGCTAAAAAGCTATCTATCAAACAGATCCAGTTGTTTAATTCGATTCATTCAATATTTTTGAAGTAGAGAGCAATTAATAGAAAGCTTATGGGCAGAGCTAATCCTTTCGATTGCTCATATCTTGAAGTGATTGTTTTTGAAAAGAGATTGGAATATTCCTACAACTTATTTGACTAAGCTATAAAAGTAAAGCTAGAATTATTGAACATGATGAAATGCAAAGAAATTGAAGTCACAATGCTCGTAAAAAAAATAGAACTATTTTAGGAGCTAAAAGCAAGATTAAAAATAAATTTAAACACATTGTGCTTAATGAATGATGAAAGTTTGGATTTATTAAATATCCAAGCTCTATTTTTAGAGAATTTAGCTTTTTCTGAGAAAGATATTAATTTGATGCAAATTAACAAATACAGAAGAAAACACTAAGCTAGATTAAACTAAAAATACTTAAATTATGAAGAAGATTTAGTGAGCAGTACAATTAATAGTGATAGATTTGATGAAAAAACTTGTATAATCTTTGCAACTTACAAAGATTAAAGAAATATATTGATAAATGAAGTCTCATCTAATTTTTAAGATATTTTCTAGTACACAACTAATAATGACGTCAAAGGACACAGCATAGATTCCATAATTCCACATCATTTTTAATCCTTTCATAACAAATATATAGAAAATTATTTGGAGGAAGAAATATCTTACTGTGTTGAGGATGATGCCCAAGAAATTCCTTAAAATAGCTAAAGTTAATAAAACGAAAATGAAGAAGCTGAAAATTTAGAGGTTCTAGATAAAACCAAAAACAATTAATTCTAAAAGCTAGACAAGAAATTACTTTCATAGAACAATTAAAAAATTTTAACAAGAGGATGCAGGATGAATAATTAAATCATATTTGCTTAGCTAAATCCAATTTTTATTTTACCAGTCAGGATCGACATACGCATAAACCAGATTTATGAAACAAAAGCGTTTGGTCTTACAGCCAAGATTAAACATATTAATGATTAATTCGATTATATTCTATTTGATGAAAAAAGCTTAAATACCATTGGAATGACTGAGAAAATACATTACACTTTATTTCCATATTAAGAATCGTTGCAGAAAATAAATATCAGAAAGGTATTTCCTTTTTTGATTGGAACTCAAGAGACTGGTGAGAATTCTTTAAATAAGCACTAAAATTAATAAGAAGTTTAATAAAGAGAAAAATATCATATTAATTTAGCTTAAGGAGGCGAAGAACTTTTAAAACAAACGAGCTCAAATATAATTAAAAAGAAGTAAAAAATAAATTTCATTGTAATTTAGCCTATTGATACTATGAAAACCACAACAACTGCTATTACTTCTAGCTTGAGCTTGAAAAAATCTTAAGCAAAAATAAAGTCTTTAAAATAAATGAAAACAACAGCTTAAGCCTCTTTTAAGGACTTAAATTCTTATAATTTCTTTTTTGTAGAATTGACTTTACATAAAGTTAAATATACTGGCATAGAGAATGTTAGCTATATTGAAATATAAAAAATGAGACAACTTAATTTTAATGAATAGGCTTCTTTTATCCTTTAGCAAGTTAAAAACCCTAAAAAATAAACATTTTATCATTAATTATTTTTCTAATATGAGCTTGATAGAATTATTCAAGAGCTTGAACAAAAAGCATTGATATAAAATATTTAAGTAAACCATTCTCAACTCACTTCTTCACTTTAAGCAATTAGTGCTTTAAATCCTTTAAATCACCAAATTTCTAGTAACAATCAAATTTCAACTGCAGGATCATCATTTAACAATATATCAAATTAGTATTAGAGTAATAACTAGGCTGCTAAAAACAAATAATTGAGCCTAACTATTGAAGATAGCTCTAATCTTGAAAATTTAAAACATAAATCTAGCAACTTGGCTGTTGAATAGCCAATAATAAAAGAGCAAGAAGAAGATGATTACAGCCTGATTCACAGTGAAGTTCAATAAACTTAAATTGACAATAGAAAAAACTTAGAATTTAATTAAACATAACCCTCTTTTTTGATATAATAAAAACAAGCAGCAGGGAATAACAATTTAATTTATTAAAATGATCAAAGCCTCAAAACTTAAGATCAAATTTAAGAACTTTATCAATTTTAAGATGAATCTGCATTTATAAATTAAATGTAGAATAGCTAATTCCAATACAATCAACAAAATAATAATATTTAAATTTTAGATAATAATTAAAATTATTCAAGCTTAATTGAGAAATCAGTAAACAACGAAATTTCATTCATGAATGCTAACTAGTACACCAACTAAAATATAATTAATTAGAATTTAAATGATGTGAATATATCTTATAATAAAACCAATGTATAAAATAATATATCTGCAGCTGATGTTTCTAAATTAGAATTAATATAAAAAAATTAAAACAATTATTATTCATATAATTAATCATTATAAAAATAGTAAGAAATGTTAATGTCTCCATCTACATAAGCTATATTTTCTCCTACATCCACTGAGAAAATAATGAACTTTCCTATCAATTCACCTCTTAATTCATAGTAAAATTTCATGAGCAATTAAAATTTAAATTCAAATAAGTTAACAACAGCTGGCTAAATGTCATAAAATTTTATTATTATGTCACCTCACTCCCCTCAGTAAAGTTCTTAGCAACTTGTTTTGGACTCAAATACCATGAAAAATAATAATTTTAACAAAAAACATTTAAAATTTACAAGCGATAATTTTTTATCACCAAAATTACCTGAAGAAACAGAAAACTAAATAATTAAATCTGATATTTTCAACAAACTTTCACCTGATTCTAAGTAAGTAGCCTAAAAAAACACTTATGACAACAAAATCATAAATGAGTAATTTAACGAAAACTATATGAATTTAAATGCTCCTAGACAAACTGATCAAAAAGAAAAATATAATAATAATATTTATAACCCTCAGATTGTTAAGAAAGCGTAAGGAAATCTTAGCTTAAGTTCACCATCTGGTGAAAATTATTATTAGTATGCCAAAAAAGAAGACAAACTCACAAAGAAGTAGAAAGTTTAAGATATTTAGTATGATATTGCGTCTACTAACTCTAAAGACTCCAGCTCAGCTTCTGCAAAGAGGTAGCTTTAGCAAATCATGGCTGATAAATCCATTCTTTAAGTTATTAAGGGAATGAACTTAATTGGAATAGTATGTTTTGCAACTATGATTTCAATTACATGGGTTTAATATACTCAAATGTATTAAAATTTATCTTCTTCAAATTAAGATTACTAAGTGTTTGACTTCCCTACAAAATACCAATCAAGCTTAAGTGAAGTTCTTAAATATTAAAATACACTTTATCTTTTAAAATATTCAACTCAGTTAAAGTTTGATTCTCCTGCTGCAAAGTAATTATTTTAAAATACAACTACTCTTAATAAGTGGGGAACATTTAATGTGATAAATTAAATGATAATTGAGATGTAAAGGGCAAGCATTGAAAGGAAAGTTTTTGTTTTGATGAGAGAAACATATTTCTTATTTTCTATTGGATAGTATTATAATACATCTTAGTTAACTGGTACATCATCAATCCCTTCTTAACTGGTAGCTATAAATTATAATTCATCACTATCATATGGTCTGACTATGGCATATTAGCATGTATTCCGTTATATTAACAACTTGGGTAATGGAAGACCAGAGTATTATTTGATAGACAATCAACTTAAAGAAATAGAAAAATTAAAAAGCGTTCAAAATGAAATGCTAACCTAGCAACAAGATAAATAGAATTAAATTTAAAACTAACTAACAGTGCTTATGGTGGTGATAATAGTAATCAATGCTGGATGTTTAGGAATAATAATACCTCTTTATTATCACATTTAGAAGGAAAGAGATATCATTTTGTAGCTATTTGCAACATTTTCTACTTAAAAGATAGATTTTCTTATTAAAAAAATACAAAAATCATATTTTAGTTTTAAAACTTAGTCACTCTACTCAACTAAAAATAGTTAGTCCCTGAAGCAAACAGTAGTCTAATTCCAAGCAATGAATAACGAAAAAGATCTAAGAAAATAAAACATAAGCACAATGACTAAATTACCGAGATTTAATTTGAAAATTAATATATCAACACTTTTAATATTTGTAGTTATTATTTGCTATCCAATAATTAATAAAATTGTTACTCAAGACTACCTAGACAAATCCATCTTAGATTTATAAACTATGAGTAAATTTTTTATTCAAATTTGAAATATTTTTTGTTTAAAATTTCTTTGCAATTTAATTATTTTAAATATAATTAATTTTTAATAAAATATCTTAAATACTAAATTTCTATTTATTTTAAAAAGTGAAAGTTTACCTTCTGAGATCATATCTGCTTGAAAATATTGGTATGGACTTCAATATTTTAGTAATGAAAATTAACCCAACACTTAAGCCGATGTCTCCTACTATTTACTATGATTATTTAAACAATTTAATTTAGCAGCAACAATAAATTAATGATGACATATAATGGATTGTAAACTCTTAATTTTAGGATAAAAGGTATTCTTAATTAGATTAAAAACATTTGTAATTTATATAATTTAATTTATTATTAGATATAATTAAGATCTCTATAGTAGTTTTTTCTTTAGTGCTTTCAAATCTAATTTATGTGAACTGTTTGATAAATATCCTCAATTTAATACAAATTCTACCAAGATAGACACTAAAATTTGTTAAGGTACTCAATAAGGTTTCTTGATGTAAGGACTGTAAGTAGCTTATAAACACTCTCTATAATTATTCCCTTAATTATATAATATATTTAACTTAGCTGATACAAATTAATCGTTAATTTAAGTTTAAGCTTTTCTCTCTGCTTTTAACATATAAGACTATACTATTTATACAGAGTTTTTGGATGAAACCATAATCAGCTTAAATTAATTTATTATTACATAAGGTAACAATTTCTACAATTAAATTATTTTATTTTAAACAATCTTAATTTCCATACAAATGGTTATTATGGTTTTAGTCTTTTTGCTTGGTTGGCTTTCATTCAGTAGGCATTTAAACGATTCGTTACATCAAACAAAAAACTATTTATAAATATTGGACATAAATACTTTAATAGAAAACACTTATATATTAACTTATATAAAGAAAAATACTATTATTTGATAGATACTCTAGCTATATAGTTTTATTTTAATTTAAATAATCCTATCTTTACTTTGTAATATAATATATAATTTAATTAGTATTTTATTAAAATAAATATTTATCCATTAATCTTGCTTTAAATTTCAAGTGCTTATCACATTTACAAAAACCAATAATAAATTCTATTAACATAATTATAAAATAATTTTATAAACTTGAAGAGATCAATCACTATTTCTTAAAAATATAAGTTATAAACAATTTAAAAGTTCATATTTTTACAATCATAAGAAAAAATAGTTTTATGAATACCAATAATCCTCATTAATTATAACTATATATATTTAAGTCCCATACATTATTTTCAAGCCCACAAGAACAATAATTAATTAGCAGAATTTTTCAACATATGACTACCCATCACTAATTCCTACTATATTTTTAATTATACATTTAAATAGAAATATTAAGATTAAATAATTAATTTTACATTACATTTTTATGATATCTGAAAGCAATTTATAAAGTCATATAGTTTATTTGTTCTATTTATCCACTTGTAATTAATTAAATTTCTATAAATTGGTATTCAATACTTTTGAAAAAAAAATAAATGAGACAATAGATTAAATATTACTAAGAATTAGAAGAAGTAATTATTTATTTTTTTATGAAAATAGTTTAAATTTATTTTTTATGAATAAAAAAAGTATTTAAACTCATCACTCTAATCTCACTTGGATGTCCATATTTCTCTTAGGTATATTTGATTAATAAAATAAAATATTTAACTTTCAATTTATTTAAAATATTATTTGTCTAACAGAAATTTTCTGATAGACATATATATTCATTCATTTTTATTAAAAAAAATAATTTTTTTAGTAATTTTAACTTTTTTATTACTTTCAATTATGAATATTCATTATCAATTTTTTTTATTTGATATTTTTCTTTATTTTTTCTATCTAACACTTTTACTTCATTAAAACTATTTATTTGTTTTGGATTTATAATATTTTTGGTCACAAAAATGAATTTAAAACAATAAAACGTTTTAATTTATTTGATTTATTTTTCTTATTATTTCATATTTTTTCTTTATTTTTTCCTTCTTAACTAATTAATTGTATTTTTTTTTTGAATATTTAAAAAGTGGCAATTAAATTGGTGATGAAGGCATATCTGGCTTAGGTTCTGCTTTAGCAAATTGCACTAATCTCTCAAATTTGACACTTTAACTTTAGTAAAACAGTTTGTTTTGGATTTTGAAATTTTTAGTTATAAAATATAATTTAAAACAATATTACTCTTTAAATTAGATTTTTATTTAATTTAATATTATTTTTCTTTTTTATTGTACTTGTATTTTTTCTTTCTTACACTTTTCTTAATTTAACTCCTTATTCATGTTCAAGTTTTGCTTTTATTATCTTATTATTTGATCTTTTTCTTCATTTTTTTGTACTAACTAATTAGTTATATATTTTTTATTCAATTATTAAAAAGTTACAATAAGATAAGTGCAATTGGTGCATCAGTCTTAGGTTCTGCTTTAGCAAAATGCACTAATCTCTCAGCTTTGAAACTTGATCTTAGGTAATAATATTTTATTTGTTATAGATTGTGATATTTTTAGTTATAAAAATAAATTTTAAATAATATAACTCTTTTAATTTATTTATTAGATTTTTATTTGATTAAATTCTTTTTTCTTTTTTATTCTACTTGTATTTTTTTTCTTTTTATATTTCTTAATTTAAATTATTTTTTTTTATTCAACTTTTGCTTTTGTTATTACTTAATTCATTTCTTATTATTCTAACTAACTAACTAACTAACTAATTAATTATATTTTTTTTTTCTTCAATATTTAAAAAGTGACAATTAAACTGGTGCTGTAGGTGCATCAGGCTTATGTTGTGCTTTTGCTAATTGTATTAATCTCTCAAATTTGAAATTGAATCTTCGGTAACAACAATTTATTTGTATTAGTATGTGATAATAAAATGAATTTAAAACAATATAATTTTTTTCATTTGTTTATTAGCTTTTTATTTAATTTATTTTTCATTTTTATTGTACTTGTTTTTTTTCTTTATTTCTATCTTTTTTAATTTATCCTATTTTTTTATTTTCAGCTTTCGTTTTATTATCACCTAATTTATTTGTTATTTTTTCATTTTTTTTCTTCTAACTACCTAATTAAAATAATATTTCATCAATTATAAAAAAGTGGAAATTAAATTGGTGCGATTGGTGCACCAGATTTAGGTTTTGCTTTAGCAAAATGCACTAATATTTCAAATTTGACACTTAATCTCAGGTAAAAATATCTTATTTGTTTTGGATAGTGATATTTTTAAAATAAAAATTAATTTAAAACATATTAACTCTTTTAATTTGTTTATTAGCTTTTTACTTGATTTTATTTTCTTTATCTTTTTTATTGTACATGTACTTTTCTTTATTTCTATCTTTCTTAATTTAAGTCTTTTTTTATGTTCAACTTTTCCTTTTAATATTAATTTATTCATTTGTTTCATATTTTTTCTTCGTTTTTCCTTCTAACTAACTGATAAAAATATATTTTTATTCAATTATTAAAAAGTTACAATAATATTGGTCCAATTGGTGCATCAGGTTTTGGTTCTGCTTTAGCAAACTACACTAATCTCACAAATTTGACACTTGATCTTAGGTAATAACAGTTTATTTGTTTTAGATTGTGACACTCTTAGTTACAAAAATCAATTTAAAACAATAAAACTCTTTTAATTTATTTATTAGCTTTTTATTTGATTTACTTTTCTTTTTTATTGTACTTGCTTTTTTTTTTCTTTTATATTTCTTTATTTTAATCATTTTTTTATCTTTCACTTTTACATTTATTATTAGTTAATTAATTTTTTATTATTTCATATTTTTTCCTTCTTACTAACTATTTATTTTTTTATTTTTTCTTTCATATTTAAAAAGTGACAATTAAATTGGTGATTAAGGAGTATCAGGCTTAGGTTTAGCTTTGGTAAATTGCCCTAATCTCTCAAATTTAACTCTTTATCTTGAGTAAAAATAGTTTTTTTGTTTTGAAGAGTTTTATTTTTGAAATAAATTATGAATTTAAAACTATAACTCTTTTTGTTTGTTTATTAGCTTTTTTATTTGATTTATTTTTTCTTTTTCTTTTTTATTGTACTTATTTTTTCTTTCTTTCTTAATTTAACTGATTTTTTATTTTTTAAGCTTTTGATTTAATTATTAATTTATTAATTTCTATTATTTGATATTTTTCTTAATTTTTTTCTCTAACTACCTAATTAATTATATTTTTATCTTCAATTATTAAAAAGTTATAATTAAATTGGAGCAATTGGTTCATCATGTTTAGGTTCTGCTTTAGCTAATTGCAATAATCTCTAAAATTTGACACTTTATCTTCGGTAAAAACAGTTTATTTGTTTTTATTGTGATATTTTTAATTATAAAAATTAATTTAAAACAATAATACTCTTTTAATTTATTTATTAGCTTTTTATTTGATTTATTTTTTCTTTTTCTTTTTTATTATACTTTTGTTTTTATCTTTCTTTCTTTCTTTCTTTCTTTCTTTCTTTCTTTCTTTCTATCTTTCTTAATTAAATTTATTTTTTTCTTCTTCAATTTTTTCTTTATTATTAGTTAATTTATTTCTTATTATTTCATATTTTTCTTCATTTTTTCCTCCAAACTACTAATTAATTACATATTTTTTCTTTAATTTTTAAAAAGTAACAATTTAATAGGCGATGATGGTGCATTAAGTTTAGGAACTGCTTTAGCAAATTGCACTAATCTCTCAAATTTAACACTTTACCTTCAGTAAAAACAATTTATATAATATAAAAATGAATTTAAAAACTTATAATTAACTCTTTAAATTTGTTTATTAACTTTTTATTTGATTTATTTTCTTTCTATAATTGTGTTTTTTCTTTCTTTCTATCTTTCTAATTTAACTCTTTTTTTATTAACAACCTCTCCTTCACTAACTAATTAATTATAATTTTTTTCTTCAATATTTAAAAAGTGACAATTAAATTGGAGATGTAGGAGCACCAGACTTAGGTATTGCTTTAGCAAAGTGCACTAATATCTCAAACTTGACACTTAATTTTTCGTAAAAACAATTTATCTGTTTTTGATTGTGATATTTTTAGTCATAAAAATGAATAAAGCTCTTTTAATTTGTTTATTAGCATTTTATTTGATCTATTTTTATTTTTGTTTTATTGCATATGAGTTTTTTCTTTCTTATTATCTTTCTTAATTTAACTCGTACTATTTCTTTTATTATATTATTTCAAAAATTTTTTTCATTTTTTCCTTCTAACAAACAATATAATTTTATATTTTTTCATCTATAACTAAAAAGTTATAATTAAATTGGTGCGATTGGTGCATAAGGTTTAGGTTCTGCTTTAGCAAATTGGACTAACCTCTCAAATTTGACACTTTATTTTGAGTAAAAATAATTAATTTGTTTTGGATTGTGCTAATTTTTGTTATAAAAATGAAATTTAAAACAAAAAAACTCTTTTAATTTATTAATTAGCTTTTTATTTGATTTATTTTTCTTTTTCTTTTTCTTTTTATTGTAATTTTGTTTTTTCTTTTCTTTTCTTTTTTTTATTTTAATTTATTTTATTTTTTTATTTTCAAAATTTGCTTTTATTATTAATTATTTCATTTTTTTTCTTCATTTGTTCCTTTTAACTTACTGATGAATTATATTATTATTATTATTTTACAATAATTAAAAAGTTACAATTAAATTGGTGCAATTGGTATATCAGGTTTAGGTTCTGCTTTATCAAAATGCACTAATCTCTCAAATTTGATACTTTATCTTGAGTAAAAATAGTTTATTTGTTTTGAATTATGATATTTTATAATATAAAAATGAATTTAATACAATATACCTCTTCTAATTTGTTTATTACTTTGTATTTTTTTCTTCTTTCTATCTTTGTTAATTTAATTCATTTTTTATTTTTAAAATTTGATTATATTATTTATAAAATGCATTTCTTTTATTTCATATTTTTTCTTTCTCAAAACCAAATTATATATTTTTTATTCAATAATTAAAAAGTAGCAATTAAATTGGTGCAACTGGTGCTTCAGACTTAGGTTCTGGTTTAGCAAATTGCATTAATCTCTTAAATTTGACTCTTTATCTTTGGTAAAAACATAATATTAGTTTTGGATTGTGATATTTTTTAATATAAAAATAAATAATACGAAAACAATAAAAATCTTTTAATTGTTCATTGGATTTTTATATGATTTAATTTCCTTTTTCTTTTTTATTGAACTTTATTTTTTTTTTTTTTTGCTTCTTAATTTAATTAATTTATTTATTTTCAACTTTTGCTTTATTTTTACTTAATTATTTTCTAATTAAATCATATTTTTACTTCATTTTTTACTTTTAACTAACTAACTAACTAATTAATTAATTATTTTTTTTTCTTCTATAATTAATAAGTTACAATTAAATTGGTTCAATTGGTGTATCAGGTTTAGGTACTGCTTTAGCAAATTGCTCTAATCTCTCAAATTTAACACTTAATCTTCAGTAAAGTCAGTTTATTTGTTTACAATATAAATTAATATAAAAAATAAATTTAAAATTATATTGCTTTTTAAATTTATTAATTAGATTTTTATTTGATTTAATTTTCTTTTTCTTTTTTATTGTACTTCTGTCTTTTCTTTCTTACTATCTTTCTTAATTTAATTCATTTTTATTTTAAACTTTTGCTTTTATTATTGCTTAATTAATTGTTTATTATTGATATTTTTTCTACATTTATCCTTATAATTAAATAATTATTCTATATTTTTCCTTCAATATTTAAATAGTAGCAATAAAATTGGTGATGATGGTGCTTCAGGATTAGGTTTTGCTTTATCAAACTGCACTAATCTCTCAAATTTGACACTTTATCTTAGGTAAAAGTAGTTTGTTTGTTTTGTATAGTGATATTTTTAATTAAAATAAATTTAAATCAATATAACTTTTTAAAATTATTTATTAGCATTATATTCTACTTGATTTATTTTTCTTTTTTTTTTTTGTACTTGTGCTTTTTTTTCTTTCTTAATAGAAATATTATTTTACTTTGCCTTTATTATTAAATAATTCACCTCTAATTATTTCATATTTTTTCCTTATAATTAGCTAATTAATTATAATTTTTTCTTTAAAATTTAAAAAGTTACAATTAAATTGGTGCAATTGGTACATCAGGCTTAGGTTCTGCTTTAGCAAATTGCACTAATCTCTCAAATTTAGAACTTAATCTTCGGTAAAAAAAATAATTTGTTTAGGAATATAATTTTTTTAATATAAAAATAAATTTTAAACAATAAAACTCTTAAAATTTGTTTGTTATCTTTTTATTTATTTCTTTAATTTATTTTTCTTTTTGTTTTTTCTTTCTTTCTATCTTTATTAATTTAACTCATTTTTTATTTTCAACTTTTATTATTACTTAATTAATCTTTTATTATTTCAAATTTTTTCGTCATTTTTTCCTTCTAACTAACTAATTTATTTTTTATTTTTTCATATATAATTAAAAAGTGACAATTAAATTGATGATGATAGTTCATCAGAATTAGGCACTGCTTTAGCAAAATGCACTAATCTCTCAAATTTGACACTTGATCTTTGGTAAAAACAATTTATTTGTTTTAGACTGTGATAATTTTTAATATAAGAATATTTTGAAAACAATAAGACTTTTTTAATGAGTTTATTAGCTTTATTTTACTTTTTCTTTTTTATTCTGTAATATTATTTTTCTTTATTAAAAATATTTATTCTATTTAACTTTTTTTAGTAATTTATTCTAATTTATAAAAAAAGTAATAACTAAATCAATTAATTAGAATAATAATAATTGAAAGTATAAAGAAAGTGTCTTAAATCAAAAAGTTTAGTTGTCATTAAAATAAAATTCTGGTGATAAATAAGTGTTGAAAAAAAATTGAATAAATATTAAATATTTGAATAATAGAATATATAAATGTTTGTTTAATTTTATAATATTTAGTAATAAGATAATTTAACTTAAAATATAAATAGATAGATAGATTTATTATTATTTTTATATTTATGAATATCATATTTTTATAAGTTAATAAATAGTTTATTAAATACAGGGAGGGTATTCAGGAATTTTTTGGAATGAATAAAGATTAATATTAAATTTAATCAAATGTTTTTAAAATTAAAAAAAATTATTAACTAAATAAATAATTAATAATATTTTTAAATTAATTTATATTTAAAAATACAAAATAATATACTCCTAAAAAAATACAGAGAACAGCTATATCTTTTATGAATTAAATGTTGAAATATCTGACTATGTTTTAAAAATGGATATAGTTAGTTACATTATCCTTGTTCACCACTTTTTATCAATAATATGTTATATTTAAAACAATTAATTTTTTTAATTTGAGACACTTGCTTTTTACTTTCAATTTTTATGATGAACTTATTTCACATTTACTTTTAATATAAATAATTGTAAAGGACTAAAAAAAATAAATAGAATTAAATTTTTTAATAAAATATTATATTTTAAATCAATATATAAAAAAAACGTTAGCATGATAAAAATTTAAAAGAAAAATTAAATAAAAAGCAAAAAATAAATTAAAAAAGTTAATTTTTTTATTTTAAATTAATTTCTATAATTAAAGATAACACAATCCAAAAAAAAAAAAATTGTGTTTACCTAAGATAAAGTGTCAAATTTGAGAGATTAGTACAACTTCCTAAATCGTAGCTTAAGCCTAATGCACCTTATGCTCCAATTTAATTATACCTTTTTAAATATTGAAGAAAAAATATATAATTAATTAGTAAGCTCGAAGGTAAAATGAAGAAATAATATGAAATAATAAGTAATAAATTAATTAATAATAAAAGCAAAAACTGAAAAAAAAATGAGCTAAATTAACAAAGAAAGAAAAAAAAACGCAAGCAGAATAATAAAAATAAAAATAAATTAAATAAAAGTTTATAAAGAAATAAATAAATTAAAAGAGCTAATTATATCGTATAAAATCTATTTTTTATAAAAGAATATCATAATCCAAAACAAATAAACTGTTTATACTCAAGATCAAGTGTCAAATAAGAAAGATTAGGGCACTTTACTAAACCAGAGCCTAAGCCTGATGCACCCTCTGCACCAATTTAATTATACCTGAGTTAATTAATTAGTTAGTTAGTTAGTTAGTTAGTTAGTTAGAAGGAAAAAATGAAGAAAAATATATAATTATATGAGATGAATAATGATTTTAAAAAAATTAAAAGTTGAAAATAAAAAAATGAGTTAAATTAACAAAGAAATAAACAGAAAAAACACAAACAGAATAAAAAAAGAAAAATAAATAAAATAAAAAGCTAATAAATAAATTAAAAGAGTTAATTAAAATGTATTAAATTAATTTTTTATTAAAAAATATCATTATTCAAAACAAATAAACAGTTTTTACTGAAGATTAAGAGTCAAATATGAGAGATTAGTGCACTTTGATAAACCAGAACTTAAGTTTGATGCACCTTCTGCACCAATTTAATTGTTACTTTTTAAATTTTGTAGAAAAAAAAAAGAGTTAATTATTTAGTTGTTAGGAAA